AGTTTATTTTCTCACACTTCCCACCTGTGGAGCTCCCACCATTTTGAACCAATACATAACAAAACATACGTTTTTCTCTGATAACTGAGTCCATCAATTAAAGTTTCAATGTAAACATGCTAATTTTGATCATGCATTTACAAACAATGTGACTGACAAGGCAGAAGATTTTTTTTAGAAAAGATTTGCCATTTCTTCCTGCAGTAGACTGGTTGCCAACCAAGGCTTTAGGACTCAGTCTGTCTTGCTATTCAACCCATAGCTAGGGGAGAAGAGATGGATTCATACATTTCCTAAGGGTATTTGTGTGTAAGTGAATATAATGTACTTGACTGGAATTTGAACTCTGCTCTCCGAGTTCTCATTCTGAGCCCATATCCATTACACCACAATGTGCATAACGATAACTATACTCTTCAGAAATTTAAATGTAACATCAATTGCTATCTTCTAGAATCTGGTTCATTTTTTGTCCTTTCTTCAATCTTCTATATTCTAGATCTTTTCTCTCACTTTCACTCCCTTTAAAAAAAAAACCCTGCGTACTATTGGCATTCCTGCCTTGCTTGGGGTGAAATCATTAAAAAGACAAAACAACAAAAACCCAACAAAAAGAAAAAGCTCTTTCAAAAAAGCCAAAATAATAAAAGGAAAAAAACAAAAAATAAAAAAAAACATCAAAATGCAATTGAAAAAAAAGATTTTATTCAGAGTTAAACAAGATAAAAAATAATATTTCACCGTAAGAGTTTAATATGAAAATATACAAGAAACTTTGAAATTGCATTGATTTCCATCTGTCCAGGGAAAACGTAAACATTGTGCCATTTAACTTTTTCTGGCAGGAAGGGAAAATAGTTTTTGTTTCAAAATAAACTTTAAATTTGTTTAAAATAAAAATTATTTGCATTGATAACTAAAATTTCCATTACATTATTTATTTTATATATGGGAGAGAGAAAAAATGCTGAAAAATTCTCAAGCTCTTAAAAAAAAAAAAAAATGTAATGTTTGGTAGATTTGGGGAAGTAGGTCTGTTTAAGTACTTTTCAGCATCCCCTCCTGTGTCCATGTATGTATGTATGTATGTAATACTTAAGAACAAAAATAAACATCCAAAGAATCTGCTCAGTAGAAATCCTCAAATTTATCAACTGGTAAATTCTTCTGTTGATGTATTAGGAATAGAAATTTTATGCTGGAATTTAAGCTTTTCATAAATTAGATTTTGTTTTTGTAATTATTCATCATTTGTTTGACTTATGTTCAATGTTTCCTGAATATTAAACTGGAAAGAAATGTTAATCTAAACAAGTTTTATTTTTGTGTTTCAGTTTTTCTCAATTTTTTTTTTTTTTTTCTTTTTTTAAATCTTGAATAACAAAAACGTACACAATATAAAACTTTGAAAAAAAAATAGTCCAATAGCAAATTACGTTCCCTGCAAAGAAGTAGCTTTTGTAAACTTTTCTAAATTTGATGGGTGGGGTCAAGTGGCGGGTACACAAGGAGACAAAGTAGTGTGTGTTTGTGTGTCTCTCACATTAGACAAGATACACAATTTTCCATATTTGTGACATTTTTTTTTTTTTGGACATCAACAATTCTACAGTTGGGTGGGGAATAAAAAGGCACAAGTGTTTTATATGTTTGTTTTTATATGTTGAAGGAAGCAGCCAAAGGTCACTGGCCTGACAAATGCAGTCAACAAGACTTGCTTGTTAACCATCACAGGTACTTGTTGACCAATATACCAGCATGACTGAATAGAATAGGCAGTGGCATATTATTCTGTTATAAATAACACGTATTTGAGCTGGCTTTGAAATCAGACTTGTCCTTGTTAAGGAGCATCCCAACCTGGCACCAACTATGTCAGCTGACCAGTAGATGCTATACTTTGTACATTGTGAATGTGATGGCCTTCCTCTTTTTTCTGAACAACCTGGTGCTTTTTTTGAAATATAGATTTAAAAAAAAGAATATTTAAATCCATAAAATATAAAAAATACTTTTAAAACGAAAAAAAAAAAAAAAACAAACAAAAAGACGATATCATTTGATTTCTTGAAAATAATAATTGTTCTTTTTTTTTTTTTTATTTTTTTTTACAAATTGGAATTTTTTTTTTTATAACTACTTAAAAATACACAATTTCTAGAAAGTCTTAGAATTATCTAGGCTTAATTTTGAGCTTTTATGTTGGAGACTCTTTATTATTATTTTTTTTTTTTTTCCCAGCGTTTCGCTCTTTCTCTCCTGTTAAGGTGTTGGGGGTTAGAGTTTTCCAAAGCTGAATATGGGAAGTAACCATTAACCACCTAGTGAGGATCAAACTCCTTACAGTAAGTAGCAGTTTGCTAAATTAATCTACTGAACCTTGCTCTAGGTCAAAGTTCTTCAGAAAAAGTTGAGGTCAATTAGAAGGCAATTTTTATGGACATACACAATTTCTTAAATGTTGTTGGTGCAGATTTGAAAAAAAAAAAAAAATTACAATACTTCATCTCGGAAATATAGACAAATATATTTTTTTAACTTGAGCAGATCAATATGGCAGAGGGACGTAAAGATAATTTCAGATAAAAGGCAATAGTAAATCTAGAGAAAAACACTTGATCGAGGGATGTGCCTCTGTATGTGGGTGGATTGATTCCATGGGTGGATGTGTCTAGCATTTTTCATTGATCATTCTTTTTTATTCTCTCTCTCTCTGGTTGATAGCATCAAAAGACTACACCTTTAAAATGGCTAAACAAATTGAGACTGGTTACTAATTTATAAGGAAACAAGAATGATTAATAATAAAAACATTCCTGGTCTGTCTTAACAAAATTTTTATATATATAATACAGAAAAAAAATCACAAATTACCTCATGTTTATATAGTCTATTTCAAACCAGCTGGTTTGAAATAGACTATGTAAATACAGCAAGCTCTCTCTGTGGATCAGTTTTAATATCTGATAATTACTAGGATCCATCTGGATTATGTATCAATAGATCTATTACGGAGAAAAAATATAAATATATATATATATATATATATATATATTAAATAAAATTTATCACAAAAGGTGATTGGTACAAAATATTCGTTTTGTATACATAGTTTTTACATGAATGTTCAGCCCATTATTCGTTGCTATTTTTATATATATATATATATATATATATATATATATATATATAAAATTAATTAAAAAAAATTATGACATAAATATGTTATAAAATCACTAAAAAATAGCCATTTTGTTTCAACACCTCCAGTGTCTTATTCAATGATAATGTTGAATGTAAAATAAATGGTTTTAAAAGTTTCAAATTAATTAACGATCCTTCGTAAAGGGAAAACACTTTTACAAAAGCTAGAATGACCAATCAAAAACTTGACAATAAAGTAAGGTTATAATAGCTATTAAGAGCTTAAAAGTTGGGGTTATACTAAAATAGAATTTATTCTAACCAATAAGTATTAAATTATATATATTGTTGGTTATTGAAATTTATTCCGTATACACCAATTATATACTTGTGTGTGTGTGTGTGTGTATATATATATATAGTACAGGTAATTGATCCTTTGGTATATAATCCGGGTGGATCCTAGTAATATTAATTATTAAAACTGATCCACAGAGAGCTCGATGTTTTTATTTTAACAGAGCATATCTATTTTTTACAGCAAAAAAACAAAAATTACCTCAACATAGATATAGTCTATTTCAAGCTGTTCTGTATACAGCTATCATCAGCCCCTAAGTGTCTGTCTTGGAGCATTGTTCTAAATTTATTTTTTCAATGTAGAGAACAGCTTGAGATAGACTATACTATGTTGAGGTAATTTTGGTTTTTAGCTGTAAATAAATATATATATATATATATATATATATATATATATATATAGTAAAGGTAATAGATCTGTTGGTATATAATCCAAATATTAAAATTGATCCACAAAAAAAGCTCAATGTATTAATTATAATAGAGCATATAAATTACACAAAATCCAAAAGTAACTCACATTGGGGGGGGGTATGTATAGAACTATTACTAGTGACGAGAAGTACATCAGTCCTTTTCAACCTTGGTGTATAGACTGTGTTCATATTGGAATTAGAAATTTAACTTTGACAGCAGTTGAAAAATTGCTACAGAATTTATCCATTTTGATGTTTCAATCAGGCAAAATGCCCAAGACAGTGGTTAAGGGAGGGTGGAAAGTATTAACCTTAAAGAGAAGAGGTTTTATAAAATTAAACCCAGATATTAACCTTATGACATTAAATTGGGGTTATATGAAGAATGAGGTGTTAAGCTGAAACTAAAAGAGAAACGAAAAAAAAATTGAAATCTAACCCCCCCCCAACCATATGAGGTAATTTGGGGTTTTGTTGTGTTTTATATATTTCATTGAATATGACAGACAAGATGCTTTGATTTAGTTTTTTAGACAATTTCTCATGGCACATTTCATTGAATACGACTGACATCAAAGCACCTTGTCTATCATATTCAATGAAATATGCATGAAAGAAGGATTGCTGCTAAAAATAAACACACACACACATATATATATATATATATATATATATATATATATATATGGTAATCAAACGACTGAATTGGAAGTGGTGGGGTAGCTCTAAGTAACATGTTTTGCTCTTAAAAGAAACATCTTCAGGCTAATTAATTAGATTAGCCTGAAGAATTTCCTCTGGGGATAGAACATGACTGTTTTGTTTGTTTTTCTTTCTTATTATCATTTGCTCACCCACTGTTAATCTAAGACATAAAATGAATGTGTGTGTGTGTGTATATGAGAGAGAGAGAGAGAGAAAAAAACTTTGACCCGGGCATACATTCTACAAGCACAATTTTTTAGTTTTAGTATAACCAAAATTTTCAATACTTTTGTATTTCACAATCAAAAGTAAAATTACAGGATAAAAATATGACACTTCCTATGTGTTTGTAGTGGAGGGGGTGGGAGATTGATATTAGAAGGAGAGAGAGAGCGAGCTGGTATTGTTATCACAGAGAAGATAATAGCTGTTAGCTTCTCCCCACCCTGTTGTCCCACTTGATGAAATTGCAGAAGCCAAAAAAGGAAAAAGAGCGTTAATCATTTTAGACAAAAGTGGGACGGTGGAAGAAGCTATCATCAAATTATAACCTGTTACAAATGGGATGTTTCTAGATATTTCAGATCGTCAAGTTTGGGGCAGCTGCTCTTGAAGGCAATATTTTCATACGCGTAGAATGATTCGCTTTCGTATTCTGAATCCGTACGCCTGTCCATGATGCCATCGGATTGTTCATTTGCAAAACCAACAAACACCTGCAATTCAAAAATGGGATAAAAAATTTAAATTTGTATGTAGATTATATGAAAAAAAATCTCAAGGAAACTATTGCACATTTTAATATGCATCAGGCATATATATATCTAACCCCTTGCATCTTAGTGGCTTTATTGCCTTGCTTATGGTGAAATGATAAAAAAATACATTTGTATTTGGGCAGCAATTTCTCATTTACTTTTGTTAAAGATTTTTTTTTTTTAATCTGGTCTAAAGTATTTTTCTGCTTTCCAGGGAAAATTTGAACATGAAGTCATTTTGGTTTTCATAAGTCATTATGAAATAGATGCAACTCTATCAACACAAAACTATGTGTTCGACGTGTCTGTCTGGAGGTGGTAGGTCAATTTTTTTCTTTTTTTTTTTTTTTCAAAAATTTATTAGTTGTGAAATATATTTAGTCTTTTTGGTTCAAAGCTGAATGAAATTTTTTTAGGAATGCTGGATTATTTGTTTACATGGTTGAAGCTTCTTGTGAAAAAAAAAATATGACTAAAAATTCAATTTATCTGGCATATAGTGTTTTTGATGCATATTTTTGTTGGTGTTATGCAATTTAACAGAGGTATCAGGTAAATGGCAAGTTAACTGACATGATAATGTACTGATTGTGCAACCGATATGTGTTGGTTGTATTATTGGAGAAATATTTTCCAAGTTTGCAAACAAATTCAGAGACAATGTTGGTTTGTTTTTTTTTTATTATTATTAGTGAGGGCTATGTTAGAGGTATTTAATTTTTACTTTTTGTAGTGAGTGGTGAGTTAAATCTGTCTATGTATCGATATATCATTGATCGATTGATTAATTCATTTTCTATGGCTTATCAACCTTTTGCAGGGTGGGAAAATTTTTTTTTTTTTTTTTTTCAGATAATAGTTTGAGTGATACAAGTCTTACTAATTAACCCATAGCTGGGGGTGTGTGGAGATAAACCCATGTTGTCATGACAAGAGTGTCCAAGGATGAAAAACAAAAAACAAGTATTTTGAAAATTGCACTGAAATATCTGAAATGATCTGTTAATGGATAAATAATCATAGTGTGTTATTTTAATGCTTTTTAAAAAGCCCTTTTTAAAAGAATTTAAAATAGAGAACACTTATATGGATAAGAAAATGATTGATAGATATGACTTGTCTACACTTTGTGCGTTATTTAAAGTTGAAGCTTATTTGGATTTTAGGAGGAAGCTTACAGCCCCTGCTGTTCCCAAACAAACCTCCTTCCCATCTAAGTACTAAACGGGCTCAATACTGCTTAACTTTGGTGATCAAGCTAGAACATAAGAAATGGAATATAGAAATCATATATGTACGTACATATGTAATTCTTTTTGTGGATATTATTGGCGAAAAATTATGACATTCATGCTTGTTAAATTGACATTTTGCTTTGATCTTTGTTATACTACAAGAGACTTTTGCTGAAATAGTATTGGGTGGCAGCTAAATGATGACAAAAAGAAATGCAAATATTACTATTTTCATGGCTCCATTAATTCTGACATTCACAGTTAAGATAGGCCATGCCATATCCATTAGGACAAATCATCTCTATTCCCTTTGTATTACATTGGTAAGGAGGAAGTTCCATTCAGACAGCTTCTTACCAAGAACCATTACTTTGAGGAACAAACTCCCAATAGGATGCTTTCCCAATCATTATAATCTTATTCTTTTAAAGTCTAGAGTGAACCATGGCCTCACATAAGAAGCTGAATTTTAACAGGCTGATGTAATGTTTAAAAAGAATGTAAATGATTGCTTAGAAAATTGCTAATCTAAAAGGGAAGTAACTTTGTTAATTTACATTCTAAGAATTCAATTTTTAATGTACAATTTCATAGAATTTATCAGGTTATTTCAATTCCCTAGACATGTTTTCAAAACTAAAAAATGCATATTTACACTTTTTTTTTTTTTTTAAAACTAATCTATGAATTATCTACAGGTGTGAGTTTCCCCACTCTTATGATTTTCAATTGCATATACGACCCATTTTGCAAATGAATATTAGGTAAATTTTTTACTTCATAGTCCATTGCATTTAAAGATTAAATTATAAATTTTGTTTAACAAAAAAATGGTTAACTAATGTGTTGCATTTGGCTGTTCTGGTGGATATGTTACTAACAGTAAAAAAGTATTGACATTTTCTTTTCCTCTTGGAATAAAATTCATTAGTTTCCTACAAAGAACTCAGTTCTCTGTATAAACCATTTTGAAGAGAAATTTCTTTTGAAAGGAAAATGAAACAAGCTGAATTGGGATTTGCATCCAATACCTACAATATGTTCAGAAAAAATAAGAAAACCGTCTCTTTTGTTGAATACAAGGGAATTCAGAAAGCCTCCAAAACGATGACTGGTTCAGTCTGATGAATTTCATGATTTTATTTCTTCTGATACAATAAAGGATTTTATTCAATTGGAAGAAGAAAAGTGTTGTTGTAATGGTTTTGAATTTTAAAAAAATAGGAAAATTATATTGTAATTTATAGAATAGTCTTTGACTCTGAAACGCATTTTCCATCTATAAAAGAATGTATTCACATTGACCATAACCTTCGTGTTCAGCTCCAATGTGATAGAACTCCTACACCGTTACCAGTGGTTTATACATGGACATCATGGTGAAAGAACAACCCTACTCAATTCTAAAAGAATTACTAAAAAAAGTCATTACCAACCATGAGGCTGTCCTTCATTTTCTGCAAAACTAATACATTATGCTTTATTACTGTTATGTCTCAACAAGCTTACAAATTTCCATTACCATCTTATTCTTTATTAGAGAAAATTAAAAAAAAAAATAACTAAATGCTTTCAATGTGAATTATGGTAGGCAATGATAGTGATGATGCTACGGTTCCATCTAGCCAAATGGCAGAGTTCATTTATGCTTGTTTTGCTATACTTGATATTGTAAAACAATGAATCCACTACAAGACAGTAAGGTTCCAAAATTCTTTCAGCAGATTCACAAAAATATTTTTACTTGTGAACATCACACTGAAAAAGGAATTCACTTTGCAGGAAAAATTGTTGTAAATATATTTTACAACAAAAAAAAAAATTGGAAAAATATAGAATTTTAAAAAAAAAAAAAAGGCAAAGGTCAAAAGAAAAGCTTTTTTTTTCTATTTGTTTTATATTATTGCTTAATTCTTTTTAAATTTTGGTTTGTTTACAATCTTTTACTTTTCTGTTTAAAAAGAAAAAAACCCAAACTGTTTTTGTATTTTTTGGATAGTTTTATCATGTTTTAGATAAAACAGACATAAATTGACTATAAACCTGTTAGAAATTAGCCTGAAATGTGAGGCCATATATATATATTAGTGGGCTATGGGTGAATCAGTATTTTTTTCTATATATCCTCATAAACTGCACTTATGCTCATACAATGACCTTATTAATTAACCCTCTACCTTGAGTGGCTCTTGGGCTTTGTATTCGGTGAAGAATTAGTAAAAAAAAAAAAATCCTGAGAAAATTATATATTTGTTTAATGTAATAGGAAATCAATGTTTATCTCCCTTTCTAGAATTGTTGAAAGGGAAAACTGGTTTCATGCCCATTGAGGTCATGAACCAAAAAATTTCAGGATTTAAAATCTAGTTCCTACCATAATTATCTTTGTTCTTAGTTGTGATATGAGGCTCAATCAAAAATTCTACTGACATTCCATACTGTGCTTACTTCGAGTGCAGCCCTTTTTTCCAGAAATATTCACTTAACCTCCTGTGAATATTTGCAGCATTTTCTTCTTTCCAAAACTGGTGTTCTTACATCCTAGATGTACCCAGAGGAGCAACCATTTTGAAAACCATTTAGAAAAAAAAAAATTCCATAAATAACAATGGATTGTTTATGGATTAAAACAAAGAAATTCTGAAATCTGATTCTGTCTGACCCTCCCCTGCCATCAGAATCTGAAAATGGTAAACGCCTACCTTAAATCTGTCATGAAGTCATTTCATCAGATATTTTTAGTTTTGACTTTCTTTGTTGTTTTTAGCTGACCTATTCTTCTTTGGCTGTTAAATTAGTAGAAATGCTTTGAAATTGCTTTCTGATTCTCACATGAACTTTTTCATTATTACACATTTTTAATTTTCTTCATTTTTATATCAGCTGTTTGTTCAAATCGAAATGGGAATGACTGCAAAATACTTTTTTCCTGCCCCAATTTATAGGCAAAAGCACACAAATGCATGCTGGGATTTCTTCCTAGCCAATAAAATAGGCCAGTTCTCAGTTTCATATGGCTCAGTCCTGGTCTGTCTTGTCATGAAGTCAGAATGCTACATACGTTTATTCGAATTTGCTCTTAGTTTGTGAAGCACAATGTTATCAGTTCTGACATCTCAGTTTCAGTCTCTTTCCCCATCACTATTGTTTTTTCCAGTCTGGTGTAGGAATGACTGCAAAATACTTTTCCTCCTCCCCAATTTATAGGCAGAAGCACACAAATACATGCTGGGATTTCTTCCTAGACAATAAAATAGGCCAGTTCTTGGTTTCATATGACTCAGTCCTGGTCTGTCTTGTCTTGAAGTCAGAACGCTACCTTCGTTTATCTGAATTTGCTCTTAGTTTGCGAACTTTTCACCATATTACTGTTAATTTACCTTGCATATATTGTTTGCTTGATACTAATTTTTGCCATGTTCTTTTTCTTGTTTATTGCAAAACTTTATCAATTCTGTTTGTTGGGCACTGCTTCCATTTAACAATGGACACCGACTCTACGTTAGCCAAACTTCTTTGGCTGTGAAATTAAGGCAACATTATGTTTTGACTGATCCTCTTAATTTAGCCACCATTTTGTTTTCTATTGCTCCTCTCTTTCTTTTGAGATTTTTATGCTTGAAGAAGACTGTAGAACAGTGCAGCTAAAATGTTACAAAAAATCCTAAGGTATGATTGCAAAGGTACTTACCATATCTAAGGTTGTCTGAGAAATGGCGTAGTCTTTGATTTGAAGATTTTCTTTATGCTCTTCTAGAAGAGCAAACAGCATGGACACTTTGGCTATGGACTTTGGAATAGAAAACACCAACGTTGTATTGTGACTCTCCTGAAGAATAAAAGATAAAATCAAGTTTCAGTAAGTGGGGGGAAACACAATAACAAACTGTCTATTCTTCATAAATCTTGATCAAATCACCAAGTGAAGTTACTATACAGACTTGATCACTACTTTGTTCACCCTTGCTCTAGCCTGGCACATGGCTACAATAACATGGTAGAGAGAATCATGCTACGTTTGGTAATGCATCTTGTAAGTTGAGACGGGGGAGGACATGTCTTTGGTTTTAGTTTCAGTGCAATGGAGAGAACAAGAAGGGTTACTGATGATCATGACTAATGAAATCAAGACAGAATGCAGCAAATTTAAAAGGTAATTTTATCTGGCTTTTTTCTTTTTTTTCTTTTCAAGTTTAAAGAATTGCCTCAAATTGTAACTGATTGGAATCAAAATTCAAAAATAACTTTTGAATGAAGGTGACTGTTATTACTGCCATTTCTGTCTGGCTTATAGGCAGAGTAAAATGATGGTTGACATTAAACCAAGATTGACTGTAAGTGACACAGAGGAGAAGGCAAGTGTCACAGTTCAAGATTTTTGGTTATAGTATCATTTACATAAAAATACATTCACAGGAAACAATTAGTGCCCACTCCACATTAAGAATGTTTCATTACAACCTTCTTTATATATCTAACAACTGGCAAAAAGGTATATATATATCTCAAGAACACTATTGAGGGAAATGTATGACAAAGTTGAAAAATTTTCTTGTGACATGTTTCATCTGATGAAGTCCTAAAAGATGAAACACATCACAAGAAAAATGTTTCCACTTTGTCATCCATTTTGTCTTTATATTTATATATATTTGGGGGAGGGCAGTAATTGATTCCTAATGCATGTTTCATTGAAAATGACTGATTTGTTATGTTTTTTTTATTATTGTATTATGTCTTATGTGTGAACAAGAGATTTCTTTGTTTGAGCAATTTCTCCATACACTTGCTTCCAAAAAAGACCTCATTTGTACAAGAAACACAAAAGTACCTTGTTGATCATTATATATATATATATATATGAGAATATGATCTATATATCAGACTAATGTTGAGTAATTGAATGACAAAATGAAAAATCCTAATTTTGACTAAAAGAATGCAGTTTCTATTAAAATGAAAGATAGGGCAGTGGTTTTCAGTTGCTTTTTGAATTCAATGTTTCCATTCTCCTAGATTGGTTGCCCCCCAAAACTGGGTGATTGGAGAAGAGATGGAGTCATGCCTTCCCTAAGAACATTTGTGTGAAAGTGAATGCAACTGATGAGGTAGGAATTTGAATTTGGTTCACTGATTCAATAACTGTTATGTGTCGTACACAGAAATATAGCAAATTTTCAACAATTGTGATTATATATATATATATATATATATAATGGATTCAACTGACCTCCTGATTTTTAAAGTTTTTACTTTTGTTTCTTTCCATATGTGTATTGAGCACTTTTTAATACTATTGTTTACTGGTCTGATTCAATTCTAACCATTAACCTATATATATATATATATATATATATATATATGAAAGGCCTTATGGATAGAAATGAAGAGACATAGATAGAAATGACCAGATTAGGAGAGATGGACAGAGACTGAGATAGCTTGAAAGATAGGTAAGAAGATAGTGAGAGAAAGATCATTGCTATATATATATATATATATATATATATATATATATATGAGAGAGATATGAACAGACAAGGCTTGATAGTGTTGTGGAGGCTTGTATTTCAATAAGTCATCCTAAATTAGGTTCGACGTACAAAACGTTAGGAACTTGAAATAAGAGTTAATGACGCAGCAATCTAGTTGTGATGGTTTATACTTCAATGTCTGACAGGGAGAGTCTATTACAATAGAATAGGTATTATTGTATAACAGACAGATAAATGTGAAAAGAGTAGGATATATATATATATATATACTTTAAAAATCAGGAGTTCAATTGAATCTGTTATGTTTACAAAGCCTTTGGCAAAGTGCAAATCCTCCAGCAGCCCTTTTTCAGGTGTAGATTCTTCGTAAAAGTTTCTAATATCATATTTTATAAATATATATCTGTTTTTATTTTTGATTTTGTGAAACCAAGAAATGCACTCACTTGTGTCCTTCCATTGATTGGCTTGTGTGGCAATCCTTAATGAGTGGCATAATTTTTCAGCTTATTTTACCCAATTCAATTTTATTAGGGTTTATTAGACAGAAAGGTTATTTGGGAATTGGTCCTTTATGGTCCGAAATGCTTACTTGCAGAAAAATATGTGGACCTTGTCACTTTGTCCCTAGTTTTGCAGTTATATTTTCTTTGTTTATCCCCCGCCCCCTTAAGCCTTCATACAGGAACAAGTGTTATAATATATATAAAGGTTAAAGGTCAGAGTTGAATCAGACCAAGAAACAGTAGTATTAAAATGTGCTCAATACACGTGTGAAAAAATACATAAACTTTAAAAATCAGTTAAAGGTGACAAAACATAATATTTATACCATGAACCCGAAGGCTTAAATTCAGAACGCCACCAATATTTGTTTAAAATCATACTACGCAAAAGTAAAAATACCAAAATGTTTTTTCTCCATATCTCATTCTCTGATGAAGCTTTAATAAACTAGAAACATTAGATTGTAAACATTTCCTATTTATTCTTTATTTTTTTATCCTGTTGGATTCTGATCTGTACTTGATTCCAACTCATCATTTTATTTATATTGAGATATATGGTGGCAATAAACTCACTATCCTGTTACTTACAATAACATTTAAGACAAAGTAATTAATTCACAGTCCAGAAATTTATTATTAAAATGATTCTGGTTTTTAATAATAATAAAATGTTATAGTAAACAATAGTAAATTAATTACCAATACTGTTTGAACTGCAAGCCACCTGCTTCAATGCTTTGCATTTTATTATAAGTAATTGTATAGTGACTTGACACATGGAGGCGTGGTGGAGTAATGGATAGCTGCTCGGATTGAGGAATCAGAAAGGTATGGTCTTAATTCATTTATTTATTCACAAACCAATTACATTAATTTACGTGCTAATAATGGATAGCCGCTCGGATTGAGGAAGGAAAGGCATGAATCCTCTTCTTCTCCCCTGATTTATTTCTTAACACAAACAAAACAATTTATTATAATTTATAATAAAAGGAGGCACTGTGGAGTAATGGATAGCCGGATTGAGGAATTGAGGAATCAGACCCTTGGGAAAGGTATGAATCCTCTTCTTCTCAATTTATTTATTAACACAATCCATTAATTTATAATTCTTGGATAGGCGCTGGGATTGCGAGTTAATACCCTTGGGAAAGGTATGAATCCTCTTCTTCTCTCCTCCTCCTCTTCTTCTCTCACTGTGGATTTATTTCTTCAAACACAAACAAAACAAAACAATTTATTATAATTTATAACAAAGGAGGCACTGTGGAGTAATGGAACACAAACAAAAACAATTTATTATAATTTCGGATTGATGGAATCAGAATCAAAGCCGAGTTGAATTTTCAATTTATTATAATCCATAATAGGCATTGAGTAATGGACTTGAGGAATCGTGCTAATTACCCTTGGGAAAGGTATATGATCCTCTTCTTCTCTCCTGATTTATTTATTTACACAAACAAAACAATTTATTATAATTTCTAATAACTTTGGGAGGATTTATTTATTAACACAAACAAAACACTGTGGGTAATGGATAGCCGCTCGGATTGAGGAATCCGAGTTAAATTTCGAATCCATTCATTTACGTTCTAATCTGGGAAAGGTATGAATCCTCTTCTTCTTCCTGATTTATTTATTAACACAAACAAAAATTATAATTTATAATATAATTTATAATAAAAGAAGGCAGTTGAGGAATCAGAGAGCCGAGTTCAATTCAGTCGATTCCATTACATTCCTTACGTGCTAATACCCTTTGGGAAAGGTATGAATCCTCTTCTTCTCTCCTGATTTATTTATTAACACAAACAAAACAATTTATTTAATTTCTATAAAAAAGGAGGCACTGTGGAGTAATGGATAGCCGCTCGGATTGAGGAATCAGAGCAGTTCAAATTCCAGTCGAATCCATTACATTCCTTACGTATAATACCCTTGGGAAAGGTATGAATCCTCTCTTCTTCTCCTGATTTATTTATTAACAAACAAAAACAAAATAATTTTAATTAAAAAAGGAACTGTTAATGGATAGCGGCAATTTCGGATTGAGGAATCAGAGAGCCGAGTTCAAATTCCAGTCAAATCCATTACATTCACTTACGTGCTAAACCCTTGGAAAGGTATGAATCCTCTTCTTCTCTCCTGATTTATTTATTAACACAAACAAAACAATTTATTATAATTTTAATAAAAAAGGAGGCACTGTGGAAAAAGCCAGTCATCGAATCCAGACTTTGGCAAATGTGGATCCATTACATTCCCTTAAAAGGTATGAATCCTCTTCTTCTCTCCTGATTTATTTATTAACACAAACAAAACAATTTATTATAATTTATAATAAAGGAGGCACTGTGGAGTAATGGATGTTCGGATTGAGGAATCAGGGGCCGAGTTCAAATTCAGTCGAATCCATTACATTCACTTCGTGCTAATACCCTTGGGAAAGGTATGAATCCTCTTCTTCTCTCCTGATTTATTTATTAACACAAACAAAAACAATTTATTATAATTTATAATAAAAAGGAATTGGTGGATAAATTGGATTAGCAAATTAATCCAAAATAGGCAGTTTGGGATTTAGTCGAATCCATTACATTCACTTAATGGATGCGGATTGAGGAATAGCCGAGTTAATTTGGGAAATTCACTTAATCCATTCTCTCCTGATTTATTTATTAACACAAAAAAAAACAATTTATTATAATTTATAATAAAAAACTGTGGAGTAATGGATAGGCGGGATTCCCCTCAGCTATGGGAAACACAAGCAAGCAGACCAGGTTCTATAGCATTGAATGGCAACTGGTGAATCCTCTTCTTCTCTCTCAATTTATTATAATTTTAATCATGGATAGAACGGATTGAGGAATCAGAAACAAAGGGGGGGGAAATTTTCTGCCTAGTCAGTCACAATTTGTATAAAAGATAACATAGGATTGAGGAATAGGCAGTTCAAATTCCAGTCGAATCCATTACATCTTAGTATAATCAATCCATTAACACAAACAAACAATTTATTTAATTTCTAATGCACTGTGGAGTAATGGATAAAGGATTGAGGAAATAGTTCAAAAAAATTAATTCACTTTGCTAATACCCTTGGGAAATGAATCCTTTCTTCTCCCTGATTTATTTATTAACACAAACAAAACAATTTATTATAATTTATAATAAATTATATATATAAAAATCTCAGAGTAGAAGCCGAGTTAAATTCCAGTGAATCCATTACAGTTACCTTGAGGACAGTTCCAGGGAAATATGCTTTCATGAAATTTTTAATGTTTGTTATATCCAAATCGGCATTCATCATATTGATTGTCACAGTGTATCCTTTGCTGAACCTGCAGGGAAAGAAAAGAAAAAAAATGTTCAAGTTGTAAAAGAAAAGAGAAATTGAAAAAAAGCCAAACTCAATTTTTGGCCTTTTTTTTTTTTTTTTAGAATTTCTTTTTATATATATTTTGTACTTCAAAGATTGAGAAAGCAAAGAAACTAACATTTCATATCTCAACCTTACCTACTTTGCAAAATCCTCTTCTTCTCTCTGATTTATTTAAAAAAAAAATTTTTTGTTTTTGGAAGGACTTCTTGGTCGAGATAATTATTTTTCAGCACCTCCTTGTGCTATGTATTTGGGCTCTCTCTCTCTCTCTCTATATATATATATATATATATATATATTATTCACTTTACGTTAATACCCTTTCAAACTTCCCTGGATAAGTTTCGGATTGGGACCGGAGAAGAAGTCTCTTATTATCCGGGTTTCTCTTATATCCGGGTTTGGTCTATTTTGTTTAGGTAAGTTCAAATGTGAATTTTGGGACTGGGAAAGAAAATCTCTCTTATATCCGGGTTATAACTGTATTTATTTTTTTTTTTTAATGGTCGTGGAAACCTATTTGTTTTTAACACAAACAAAACAAGATATTTTTTTTACGTGTCTCTATATATATATCAAATTCCAATACGTACATTTTGTGTATTATGAATAATCTGATTCTGTATGTATATTGTCTTTTTCAAGATTTCACCCCTCCTTGCCCATATCATCACTTCAAATGTATCTACGTTGTAACGAAGCTCAGAGCAACATTAGATTTTAACGTTTATTTTAACTCAATTTTTGTCCTTTCAATAAAACAAAAATAACAAAACATGTATTTTTTTCCTCAGTTTCTTTAAATAATTTTATAATTTTTAATTTTATAGTAAAATTTAATATTAATTAGTTAGAATGATTTCTATTTTAGTCTAACCCTGACATTAATTATTATAACCAAGGTGTGTTGTCAAGTTTTTTTGAATTCTCATATACTTGTATTTTGATTGGTCATTCAGCTTATATAACAGCGTTTTATATATATAGCAAGGGATATTTGATTGATTTGAACCTAAAAAAACCCTTTATTCTACATTCAACACCATCACTTATTTTAAGACACCAGAAGTGTTGAAACAAAATAAATAATTTTATTTTTGTAGTGATTTTTATAACATATTTACTATTACTCTGTATTGAGCACTCTTTTTAAGAATAGTATTTTTTGGTGATTATTGAATTTATTTTGTATACAACAATCCTATGTGATTTGATATATATATATATATATATATATATATATAATCTGAGAATTTATATAATATATTCCTCTCAATTCATGCATCTCCCTTCCACCCTCTTCATATTTATCAGTCTCGTCATCTTATTTTTCAGTCTGTTCAGGAGGTCAATATTATCCGCTGGGTGGTAGGGCTTGGGAGGATTAGATCTGTGGTCTAATGGACAAGATCTCAGGAAAAAGATGCTAAAAAGTTCAATTGCTGACCACTGGTCTTTTTGTGTTGATACCATACAGAATGGCATGAACTTAAAATTTGGATCTTTAGTCCGTGACATTGTCAGGTTTTTGAGATAAATGAAAGGTTAATCCCAAGCAAATCTTCTTCACATTAATAACAAATAACTTACTTGTTCTTCAAGTGTTGAGGACTACCAAGACATTTGAACTGTCCGTTGACCATAATACAAAGACGTGTACACAACATGTCACACTCTTCCATGCTGAAACAAAAAAAGAATAAAAATTAGAAACTGAAAATATTTCAAATAAATGAAGAAAAAATTATAAAGAAAAATGGTTGTATATCTTGGGCAGCTGTGTGTGTTGGATTCTTACTTGCCCACATTGTGATTAATGATTTTAAAAACCTCAATTATTTTGTTAAAATTTCCAGTGACACGTATCAATTTACCATCCTTCTCAAAGATGTTGGACTGTTAAATGAAAGTGAAAAATTTGTTTAAAATTTATGTCAGCTTTTATGAACCTAACATATTTTTATTTTTTTGAGCTGATTATCTTGCCTCATTGTTAAGGAGCACAAAGGAAAATTTTGAGCAAGCTTATTTGTAAACTTTGTATTTTGATTTATTGTTTTTTTTTATGTAATTATAATTCTTGTTTGCTTATAACTGTGCCTTTCACAAAACTCAGGATAAAAGATGTGACATTCTCAGTTCTCTCTCAAGTAAGAAAAATATTCTTTTATTCTTCAAACTCCTTGATTTCTGCAAGTTGGATTAATTATTATCCTATTAGTCTAACATAGATTCCCCCTATATATATGCAAAGTAAAATGGTTCAACTGAGTAAATGAGATGGCAGGAGAGGCTCTCAGCTAATCATGGCTTTTGCTTTTAGTGTTGCATTCTATAGTGTTTTTTTCTATATTCATGGGAATAGGTTTCTTTTCTAGATGTAATTTGGGAAGAAATGAAGCTTGTCATTATTTTCACACCTAGTATTTCTTTATTTAAATTTTTTAATTTGGGTGTAAATTTTGTGAATTTCTTAAATGAAGCCTTGTTATTCTATTCATTTTATTCATTTTTTTGACTAGTCTTTTCTTTCATCTTATTTCTAATCTTGTCATTTATTCATTTCATTTTTTTTAACATCAAAAATAGTAGTAGTAGTATTATGTTAATTGAATTTCTTAAATGAATCCTTGTCTATTATTATTCATTTTGACTAGTCTTTCTTTCATCTTATTTTCTCTTGCTAAACACCTAGTAGTAGTAGTAGTGTAATTTTTTGAAATAAGATGAAAAAAAAATAATTCAAAAATGAATAAATTTTTCTAATTTAAAGTCTTAATTTCCTCTTCTTTTCACCTAGTAGTAGTAGATAGTAAAAATAAGTATTTTAAGAAATCCATTCTGAAGAAAAATGACCTTTTAAAATATTTTTATTTTCATAAATAAAAAAAAAAAATAAAAAAAAAACATTTAAAAAAAAAATAATACTACTTCATCTAAGAAATACTTTTGTATTTTATTTTCTAAAAACAAAATTAATTTATTTTGAAAAAATACAGCCGTAATGTTTTTTTAAACACACTTTTTGAGTAAATGGATATATAGTTTTCTCAACAGCCAGCAGTATATATGCTAATTTTATATTTCATGTATAATGCAACCCCCTTAAAATTAGCTTCAAAATCAGGTCTTCAAAAATCACACGATATGCAAGTATATATGATAAATTGAATGTTGGATTTTTCATCTATTGAGAGATTTTTGTTTAAATAAGCAACTGACCTATGGGAAGTTAAAATAACAGACTGTCCTTTCTGTAAAGCTCTGTTGATACAGTTCCATACCAAGCGTCTTGCTCCAGGGTCCATTCCAGCTGTTGGTTCATCCTTGATGATGTAAAAAAAAACAAAAATTCTTCATTATATATCTGAAGTGTTATATTTGAAACTTATGTTTATATTAAATAAGATTTTTTTTTAAAACTCCACACTTTTTTGAAATTCTTCAGTTTATAGAACAACAGGCAAAGAAACAAAAAATTGTCAGTGTGAAGTGGAGAATATCCTATCACATTTAACTGAGCAGTCCTACACCAACCAGAAAACATAACTTAGATATTAATAGAAATATTTTTCAGTAAACTTGAATCTTCAGGTCCACAAAATAAGTGTTTCAAAAGGATGTTTTTTTCCATTTCACCACTATTATTTATTTTAACTACTTTCACTCCTCAGCAATATTTATCATTTCAAAAAGCGATTATTAGAATTTTAATAAAACAAACATATGAAAGTGAATTTATACATTTTCTTTGTTCTTGAGAATTGACAACAAAAATAATAATCACTATTAGATTGTTTATTGGAATGGTTGGCAAAACATTGGCTAATTGTCAATTGATTCAAACTTTATAAAATGGTAAATAAAGATTTCCTTATAGTTGGCATTCAAATATTTTAATAATTTAGTAAATGTTTATAAATTTATGAATAAGAATTATTTTCATATTTATTTCTTTATAAATTGATAAATGATAAATATTGCATTAGTTTAAATTGTATTATTTTTTAGCATATTGTAAATATAAAATTATTCTTGTAAATAAATAGTGTTTATTATTTTTGTTGTCAATTCTCAATAACAATGAAAATATCTTTAGTTTTTTTTACAATTCTCACCATTGCTTTTTAAAAGAAACATTCCTGAGGATGGAAGGTAGTTAAAATAATAGCAGTGTCAAGGGAAAAACTTTTCTTTTGACATGCATTTTTTTTTTGTGGATATGAAATAAAGGGTTTAATTTGAAATTCTTGTCACCTGAAGAAGGCCAGAGCATACAACAGCCGAAATGTTGTGAATATGGCAATAAAGATGAGGACAACAATCTGAACATTGTAAATAATTCAAATAAACAATCTAATAAATAAATTAAAATATGTGAATCGACTATAAGAAAATCCTTATTATTTACCATTTTATAAAGTTTGAATCAATTGATAATTAGCTGATGTTTTGCAAACCATTCCAATAAACAATCTAATGAATAAATCATGTAAATAAACAACCATAACATTACATATAGCAGTTTTTGTTTCTCAGAGATCTTTATTTGAATATTGTTTTCCATATATATATATATTCATACATGTTTCATTTAAATTAGCTGATGTTTTGCCAACCATTCTAATAAACTTGTAATAGTGTTTAATATTTTTGTTGTCAATTCTCAAGAATAAAGAAAATGTCTAAATTCCCTTTCATATGTTTAGGTTTTATTACAATTCTAATCATCGTTTTTTTAAAACAATAAACATTGCTGAGGATGGAAGTTAGTTAAAATAAAAACTGTGTCAATGGAAAAACCGTCCTTTTTGACATTACATTTTTTTTTTTGTGAGTATGACGGTCCAACTCTGCCATATTTTTTTTCCTTAAAGCATAAAGATTGGTGTAAAAAGAGATTTAGAGTAAAGTTTCAGATATAGATTTTTCTCATGACCTTTATGTGAGGTTAACTTACCAAGAGGACCAGGGGTGGATCACCAAGCAAAGCAATGGCCAAAGACAACTTCCGCTTCATGCCACCACTGTAGGAACTGACAAGCTTATTGGCAAAGTTTTCTAAATGGAGTTCAGATACCAACTGAGCAATGATCTACAAATAGAAAGTAATTTGAAAAAAAAAAGAATGTAATTGATAAATTGTAGAAGCATGTGTTTTTTAATATAGAAATGCGTTGGCAAGTAAAACTGGATTGGCCAGTTATGCTTTAATATAAAAAAGCTACATTGGCCAACTATTTTTTAATATAGAAAAAGTGCAATGGTCAATTATGTTTTGCTATAATAATTTTCAACAGAAATGATTCTGAAAATCAAAGAATTTTCTGAAAATAATTTATAAAAAAAAAAAAAAGACCAGCAAATAAGTTGTTAAAATAAATCTTATATTTTTTTTTTAATCATTTCACCCCAAGCAAGGCAATAATACCACTAAGATGCAAAGGGATACTAATTGATTGATTGGCTCTAGAAGTTGAGAGGCTGTTATACACAAATTGTTTACTAATGTGGAGAAAAGCATTGTACCTCTAAGCTGTACATGTAAGAATGGATATATGACTTGTCACCTGTCCGGTCAAAACATCCAAGAGTTGGAGACAATATCAAATAATAAAAAAACAACAACAAAGTGAAGTTGAACAATAGAACTATATTGAAATAAATTTCTTTAAAAGGGGAGGGGAGATAAAAAAAAAAACAATATAACAAGCAAAGGAATCCATACAATACTGAAAATGCACACACAGACTGATTTCATATATACGCACACACAGACTGATTTCATATATACGCACACGCACACACACTTTCTTTCGGTGACCTCTCCTATTCTTCCTCACTTTTACTCCGATCATAAAGATGATTCTTCTTCAAATATGATCTTCCATTGATCTTTTCTACTTGAAAAGATTTTTCAGAGTCTGAATTTCCATGTTTTCCTAGGTTTCTAGAGTCTGGTTTTCAGACTTTCCTAGTTTTCCAGAGTCTGAATTTCTGTGTTTTCATAGTTTTCTCATTTTTGTTCTTTTTCACATTTGCATGGGATGTTGTACAGGGTGAGGCAAAAGTCATGCACCATAGGGATAATTTATTAAAAATATAATTACACATGATGGAGTAATGGATAGTAATCCGGATTGAGGATCGGAGAGCCGAGCTCGAATTCCTGTCGAATCCATTACATTCACTTACATGCTAAAAAGGTATGAATCCTCTTCTTCTCCCCCCAGCTATGGGTAAATAGCAGGACAGACCAGGTTCTATAGCTTTGGAAGGCAACTGGTCTACTGCAGAAAGAAATGGCAACCTAATGCAGGAAAAAATCTGCCTTGTCAGTCATGTATCGATAGATATATGATAGCTTAAGCATGTATCACACATGGCACATAACTTACTGACTAAATTACATGAAAATTTTATATACTAGCTATTTAATTGTTCTGTATGCTGTCCAAAATGTCCTCTCCTCCTTTTTCAAAACACATTTCAATTCTGTACCTGCATGATCCATTGAACATGTTGGAGAGTTTCCTCTGTCATTTTCCAGCATTCATATTTAATTCTTTCCTCAATGGCCCCAAAAAAAAAAAAAAAAAACTAAGGTAGTTACTGAAGTAGACCTCTTCAATCTAGCTATTAACCCCTATTGATATGCATCAACCTGTATATGCAAGTTTTAGTCATTTATTCTCTTGTGAAGTACCAAATTTAGTAAGGAGATCGCAAAGATGGAACATCAACTTTGAGAAACAAAATGACAAGATTTTCTTGCAAATTACTAGAGGAACAAAACAGAAGTTCCATAGTCAAAACAATTCTTGGAATAATATCACCTGTTCATAAAATTACAAAATGTATCTTTATACACCTGAGGAAGGTCAGAGAATAGACAGGCTAAATAAAATGTGTTGTAGCAAAACAAGAAGTTCAGTAGTTGGGACAACTGATCAAATGATACTGAGTCATTTTTTAAAATTAAGAATGTATCTTTTACACCTGAGAAAGGTCCGAGAATAGACAGGCTGAAACATTATGATCACAAAAGAATAAGCCCAATTACCGAAAAAACTTTTCAGACAATATATAAAATAGTTTAAAAAAGCCAAAAATAAAATCACTGAATCTTAATGACAATTCAACAATGCTAACAAAAAGACAATGATTCTCTTTCAAATCAGTCGGTCATTGACCTCTGTTCACAATTCTGTATTGCTATTAATGCTGAAGTCCGTAGTCCTTTTCATGGCTGTAAAGATGTTAACCATTACATTCATCTTTTATTTAATCATTTCACCCCAAGCAAGGCAACAATACCACTAAGTCTTAAGGGGTTACCAGGAGTGAAAGAGAAGTGAGTGAGGAGAAAGGTCAATAAAAGAACTGGATTCAGGAAGACAAGATGACAGTTGGCATTGCATTTAAATTTTTGAAGATTGTAGGTGGCAGGGAAGAAGGAAATTGAAAGGGAGTTCCACAGCTGAGAAGTGCGAGTAAAAGAAACTATTAGAATAGAACAGATGGCTGCAGCTAGCTAGGTCAATAATAAAATGGTGAAACTTAGTTGCAAATCTAGTATCTTACTTAAATTCATGCAGATGAGCCACTAAAGAGAAAAACACATTGGAACAATTGCCATGAAAATATTTGTAGAAAAGACAGAGGGAAGCCATGTAACTGGTGGCATTTACTTTTCGTCTAAATAAATCTCCCCAAGTCATGGTGATTGCTTATCTTATAACTTTAGACACATGTTAGATTGGCAATTCTCTATGCATAGTCTAATGAAGGTTACTTATATTGACAAAGAGAGAGAGAATAAGATTCACTTACCGAATTAATTTCACTCTTTGAAATTCCGCGGATTTTAGCATAGAAGGCCAGTAACTCACGTCCAGTTAGGTAACTGTCAAGAGCGTCTTCTTGAGGACAATAACCAATGACATTTCGAGCCATTCTAGGATTACGGCTCAGGCTAGAAAAATAAAATAAAAATAAGAGATTAACATAATGAATCTTGACAGGCTGTGAACATATAGAGAGTGTCCCGGAAATTAATTTTTTATTTCAGTGAAATTGGACAATTTCTTAAAAACTTACTTTTATTTCTGTTCATATTTAATGCATTTAAATTTCTAATTTTGTTTATATTTTTATAATATTTTTCATAATTTTATTTTCATTCCCTTTCAGAACCCTATTAATAACAAATACACAAGAACGCAACTTTGTTGTCCCACCTCACCGGATTTCTTTGCATAGGGTTTCATAAAAACTAAAAGTTTATCACCCAAAGATCAATAGTTCAGTTGAACTTAAAGAAAGCATTCAGTTAGTGTTGTGAAACACATTTTGAAGGAGTTATCTCCTGCACTGCTAAGTATTAATTTGAAAGTTGCAGGAATACAGATATGAATGACACGTCCTGTTCCCACCAGTCCAAACTTTTATGGCAAGGACCTGCCATGCCAATTACATAGTAGGAAACTACCCACATTCCTTCTGTATTCCATCAGTGAGAAGTAAGTTCCTCTTGAACAGCTTCTTTTTACTCATGCATATCAAAAATTTATATCCCCAAGATCCAAGGCTGGCTGTATAAATCGCTGAACATGTACCAGCAGAGCAGTACATTTAGGCAGGGTTATAATAGGGTTATAAGAGGTATATTATTGAAAATCAAGTTGTGCACTGTGAAATTCAGTTTATGTTGCATTTTCCTGTCCTTCGCCTGCAAGAACTTGAAGAAGCTTCAAAGCCACCTCAGATTTTACACCAATCTTAAAAATTGACCATGTTCCTTCTGTTGACATTTGTTTTTGTTGATATTGCTATTTGCATTCTCTGGTTCATTTTAAACTTTTTTTTGAGTGTGAATAATAGTCCACTCAAATGTTGTTGAAGACATTCAGAATTCACAACCATATTGAATCTCTGTTGTATCAAAGCTGCCAGCTGCTTCAACGTTATTCATGGGTTCTCCCCCACACACTCTTCAATAAAAGCCTTGTGTTGTGAATTGCTGTTCTTGGACATTTACACCTGGGTAGTACCAATTTGAAATTGATTAGTAGTACCAATTTGAAATTGATTAGTAGTACCAATTTCAATTTGATTAGTAGTACCAATTTGAAATTGATTAGTAGTACCAATTTGAAATTGATTAGTAGTACCAATTTGAAATTGATTAGTAGTACCAATTTGAAATTGATTAGTAGTACCAATTTCAATTTGATTAGTAGTACCAATTTCAATTCGATTAATCAAACTTAAAATGCTATAGTCCGCCATCCTTCCCTATATCCTTTCCTCAAAGAACGCTCTTTACTCTTGCTCTCTGTAACCCCTTGCATGCTAGTGGCACTCCCACCTTGCTTGTGGGTGAAATGTATAAAAAATTCATTAATGATCACATCCAAAAAGTGTCATGATGAGTATTAATGGGGTTATTAGGTAGAAACTAAAAATTAATACCAGATCTTTTATTTTTATGAATCCTGCCAGAGAATGCATATTTCTCTTTAATAAGATTTCTCAAATATTCAGGCCAATAGATAAAAATAAATATTCTGTTTAATAAATAAACGAAACTAATGATCAAATAGGAGTGCCCACTAAAAATAATGTTTAAAATGATAAAATCTGTTGGATTAATAAAAAAAAAAATCCATTATTTAGAAATTTTCTTTTTACATTTTCTGGCATTTTTCTAGTGATTGCTCACATTGGGGGCTTATCTTGAACCAGTGTCTGATCAGCTTTGAAACAAGCGGCTTCTTTTATGTGCCATGTCTCTTCAGGACATAAGGCAGTCATGACTCTCCACTTTTTTCTGTCCCTTCTATCTCTCAATATGTTTTGTCTTTTTGTTATTTCTCACAAACATGTGTTTGACCAAAAGAAAATTCATCAAAAGCCTGATGAAGCATTTTGAGGTTTTCCATAGATTTGCAAGGCTTCATACAAAATATGATGTGGGTATATTGCATGAATTTGTCAGTTATTGTAAAGATCACAGAGCCGTTTCAACAAAACCTTATGTCATTAAATGATTGTAGTTAAACTGTTTTAGTTGGTGAGGTAAAAATGAGTATTAGTTGCGTGTATATTCTTGTTGACTGATTCAATCACAGTGCATATATTTCAGGAACTTTCCTATACCACCTTGTATATTGATTTGGTCAAATTATATGCCAGCAGTCAGAATGCAATCGAGTGATATTTTGTAGGAAGTTAGTAAAAACTTAAAGTTTTGGCTGACCAAATACTTACCTTTCACCAAACATGTAAACATCTCCTGATGAAGCCAACATTTCTCCAGTTAATATACGGAAGGTTGTCGTCTTGCCAGCACCATTCACCCCCAAAAGTCCAAAGCACTAATAAAAAGACAGATGAGGAATTCATTGTTTTATAATTCAAACATTAGTGAGAAATGAAAAAAAACAATTCAGGTTTAGCAGTAGTCAACCTACAGTCTATGGTTGAGCTCAGTCACACGAAGGGATTTTGACTGTCCTCAGGTACCATTGTTTATCTGGGGGTCATTATTTTGGGTGTTTCCTATGACCATTCTGCTATATACATGCATAGTGTCTTGTTATACTGACTTAAGGTTTTGTTTTGTTCCAAACCAAATTGCTGAAATTGTTATCTTTGAGTCATCTTCTACCAGCATGACCGATACCAATCTCCAAGAGAGCAACTCATTATACCTTTTCAGTCCCATGTTTTCCACTGACACAAAGTGGAATGATTATAGTGAATCTATTTCTAGGTCTGTTGCTAGGAAAATTGGTTTACTGTGTTGTGATAGACATTTTTTTTTGCCACCTTTACAAGTTAACCATTTGTCTGGGTGTTGAATTTTGCTGCACATCTGCTCGAGTGGTCCTTTTATATATTCTTGACAAAATACAAAACTGCAATGTTATTGGTCCAGACTTAGCATCTCAGCTTCAGTCACTTTTCCACCATAGTAACGTAGATTCCCTCTGCCTTTTCTATAAATATTTTCATGCTAATTGTTCTGATGAGCTTTCGTCTTTAGTACCAGAACTTATTTTTTAGAAACCCGTAATACTAGATTTATTTTTAATAAACCTACAATACCAAATATTTTATTTTTATAATACTAGATCTTTTATTTTACTTTTACAATACCAGATCTTTTATGATTAATGCCAGATGTTATGGAGGCCATTAATGAGTTAATGCCTTTTACTCTAGTCATAAATTTGTTCATTTATGAATTGAAAATTTTGATAGGAATACATTTGAAATGATTTAAAATAAAAAATGCATTTTTAATCATATCTACTACAGAAGCTGCATTACAATATCGTAAATAAATGAAAAGTTAAATTGACATTAATGGAAAGTGACATTATGGCTTTCTTTTAATAGCAGACTTTAATAAAACTACATCTCTCTAAATCAGTAGTTCCCAAACGGCGTCTCGCAGGTGAGGCAGAATGATTGAAAGACAAAGATTTAGAAACAGTGTCAAAAACTTCATATGCCAAAAATAAATATGATTTCAAAATTTAACATATTATCATACATTACTTGTAATTGCTTACATGAGTCTCATTATTAAATAGTTATAAATTATTAACAGATTTTATCATTGTGGTATTTTTGCATTATATCAAGTGTTAAGAATATAGTAACTAGGGTCTGCAAATTGGAGGAGAGAGTTATCAATGATAATGTTCTGGGTTTGAATCCGCAGTTATCTCCCTTTAATCCTCTGTCTTACTTTTAAATATACATTTTATCACATAAAATTTGGTAAGGTGCAAACAAATTTTCATTCTGAAAATGCAGCCCAGAGAAAATGTTTGGAAACCACTGGTCTTTGATAAAATCTAAATCTGTTGCTTTGTAAGCAGAAACCATCAGAATTTAATAGAAGAAAGGTTGATAAACAGAATTGCTGTTCTCAGAGAGATTAAGACGTTAGGCAAAGAAACGCTAAAAATAACATTCAGAAAATTGACGATGAGCAAGATACACTTGGGGAGAAATGGACATTGACGTTTTTATGGAACAATTTTTTTTCCCAGCTACTGGAAAGTTTGTTATGGCCTGGAATTTCTTCACCCTATCAAACCTTTTAAGGCAAATTTAGATGATAGAATTTGGTTCTATCCATTGTATCCGTCACTACACAAATCACAATTTGACATGGTGGTTATAATTTCAGAATCCATGCTCAAATCGGTCATCTTAAAAAGTTGAAACAGAACGTGTCTTAACAATATAATTCAAATATTGAATGACAAAAATATTTATAAAAATATATTTTTTTTTTACCTCTCCATGTCTGACGCCAAAAGATATTTTTTTAACAGCCAAAATCTTTTCAAATCCCTGTTGAAAGATCTGTAATGCAAGAAATATATCAATCTCATTAATAAAAGGTTGCCCACATACAGAGAGAGAGAGAGAGAGAAATCTGTTTTATTCCTGACAATGAACAGAGAATGGTTGAAACAGTTAACAGATGATAAAACTATGAACAATTATTGCATAGCTGTCAGCTAATTATTCATTCCCTTGTAAAAAAAAAAATGTACAAGTACACAAATAATATATATATATATAATGACAGACAAAGAAGATTAATGTGTGTGTGTGTGTGTGTTAGCTGAAAAGTTTAAATACTAATTTGCATAAAAAAATTTCTAAAACATAACTTACTTTAGTTTATTACATAGCTTGCCTGACTTTTCAGCTAGCCTGATAAATATTTATGAGTTCCTAAACTTAAAATTTTTGAAAAACCAATAACATTTTTGCTCTTGTATATAGATAAGTTAGAAAATCCTTGCATTTGCCTTGATAACATTTCTCAGAGGATGAAACATGTCACCTAAGATAAGTTTTCCTTTTGTCTTTACTCATATTGTCCTTTGTGAGATATATATATATATATGTATGTATGTTTCTTTAGACTTTTTATTGGTTTTGTCACTTGTTTTTTGATTTATTAGTTTTGTTCTTTATTTTTGTTTACTTACAGGTTATTCTTGTGAGATTTATATATATAAATAAATCATGTACCATATAAACTTTAAGCTTACATCATTCTTTTTTTGTTTTGTTTTTCCTAATATCTCCTGCCTCTATATTTTGAATTTACACCCCAATAATATATTGGGTTTATATTAATTTCAAGCTTTGAATCTGAGCATGATTTAGCATTCTTCTCATGAGACCCAGTAGTTTTAAAAAACAACTGTAATAAGTGGTTCAATCGCTATATGTGCCTGATGAATTGGGAAACCATGAAACTTTAAGTTGCACTACATATGTATGTATATTATTAATATATACTTCATAGCTCTATTTAACTACATTGAGCACTGTTTTGTTTGAACCATAAATTAAATAAATATTTATCTGCTTATCTGTGTATGCATGCTATTGCACACATATACAGTCACTAATATCTCATTATTTAGTTTATATTCACAGACACACACATATGCATGCATGTGTGTGTCTGTGACACTGGCAAATGGAAAGAAAGGTGTTAATTTAAAAATATAAGTTTGGAACAAGAAGAAAAGGGTTAAGGGAGGGAACAGTGGACAGACTGAGAGAAGGAAAAAAGATTTCTTTTTATTTTCAAAGTCTATTTTTTTGTGGGTGGGGGCAGAGACCACTTGAAGTAATTCTGTTTACTAGATATAGTCACAGAGGTCATGTGTCAAGACCTAGATGACACCTGATTGATGATACTGCCTAAAGAATGCCAGTTATGAAAACGCCAATTGAGAGATAAAATTTGGTAATTTTAAAGACATGACAGAGTTGGAAAACTGATTTATTTGACTATGAAAAGGTGGAAATTATAAACAAAAAGGTAGAATTTCTTTATGTAAAGACCGAAACCCATAGTGCCTGGAGCAGAATGACCCTGGCAGGATTGGGGGAGGTTGACTGACTGTAGGAAGCAGCTAGTAAATTTCTTATTTTATGAGCAAGGCCAGGCTGAGAAATTTTGCTGACAAGATATTAAAATGATAATTTTAATTAATGACTATGAATTAAGCCAAGACATGTTGTTGAGAGCCAGATTGGTTCAAGAACAACCAAGGTGACAGGTTCAGGTGAAATACCAAGATGGATGGAGGAATTGCCTATGGCCATTGGGAAATTTTAGTGTAGGGCACAAATAAGTGAAGGAAGGATTTGGGTGGATTGATATCCTGCGACAGGAAAAGTGGTCTCCATAAAATTGGAGATATAATTAATTTTCCAGAGCCAGGCAACAACTGGGCTCTTGTTGGTGGGGAAAAAAACCATGCCACTGCTCAACCATGTCAACCCCCATGCCAGTATTAGGTGAAAGTCAATATAAGTAGAACATTCAAATGACCAATGCAGTTGTTCCAGATGAAAGATGGCCATTCTGCCAAATCCATGTAACTTGCTCCCAGAGAGAACCTCCAAATTAGGCCTTGTTCCAGACTTAGCTAAACCAACTGTTCTGACAGGCCTTGGTGACAAGTCTGATTTGCTACCTCTTCATCACCAAGGCCCATTGGAACAATTGGTATGACATTTGCCTGACAACATAACTGTCTGGGTTTCAATTCTCAGTAGTGGATGTGCACTGCTGATGAGTCCCAAATATAGAACGAAACGGCTGTCCAGTGCTTTCTGCATTTTGTTGAGGCTTCTTCTAGACTCGATGAATTACTTGATTATAATTATCTCAAATCCTCCTAATTTCCATCATTTTGTTATATATATATATATATATACATGTAAAACAAACAGACAAAGGTGGTACTTGAGTGAAAGGAACAGCAACACAGTTTTATTGTAAAAAGAGAATACACTACTGAAAGACAGGGAATTAGGTAGCAGGCTAGTAATTCCCGAAGCAAGGTTATTTACCTTACCTCCCTGCGAGGCAGGATGTGGCACAAGGCAGTTTTTTTAATGCGGAGCAAAGCCGAGCCCGGGCAAAAATTCCATGTAGACCCCGAATACCCAGGGGTGGGTAGCTGTCTACCACACCAGACAAGACTCTGCCCTTTGGCATAGCCTCGTTTGGTATCTTCTCTGCCAGAAGGCAGAGAGTTCAACCAGCACAGCTCAAGACTAATGTCCAACTAATTGTCGAAGCAAGCCCCCAGGTATATCCTGTGTTCACTCTATATATCTACTGATATAGTCAGTCCACATAGGTGATAGGGAGTGTTGGACATTCCATTACAACAATATATATATACATATTTAAGTAATTCATCGAGTCTGATTTGCAATCTCTTTGTCACTGATGTCCGTTGGAACAGTTGGTATGATGTTTGCTTAACAACCTAACTGTCAGGGTTTCAATTCTCAGTAGTGGATGTGCACTGCTGATGAGTCCCAAATATAGGACAAAATGGCCCTCCAGTGCTTTCTGCATTCTGTTGAGGTCTCTTTCAAACTCGATGAATTACTTAAATATAATTATCAAATCCTCCTAATAATTTCTATCATATATATATATATATATATATATATATATATATATAATGTCTTGAACAATAAAAAAATGTTAAAAATTAAAATTTCAGACACACTGGGTTGTATGTTCCATTTCTCAACTAGTTTCGGCCAGAATGGCCATCATCAGGAGAAAAAAAAAAAATTGTCCTTGTTAGTAGCACTGAACTACAGGGGTAAATGCCTGTTTCTGAAGAATGTTTTTTTTTTTTTTTAGTTTTCATTTGTTTTTTATCATTAACTTTTGGTCAATCCATGTATTGGTCAAAGGCCTTTTCAAGTTCTTTTAAGGAGAGATTGGGAGACTCATGAGTCTCAGATATATCTCCTTAGTTATTTTGACAGTTTCATTAGTTGCTGGGAAGGGGATGTGTGTGTTATGTGTATGTTATCTTTTTGTTTTTTTGGACTGTGTGTGTATATACATATATTTGTGTGTATGTAGGAGAACTCATATTTATGCAGAAGAAAAAAAAAGAAAAATCTGTAGCAATTTACTTGATTACTTCCCAACATATATTTAAAACTAAAAACTCAAATTGCTAATCCAAACCTTAGCCACTGACTCACCTTGGATAATCTTACTATAGAAATGGCATCCTCCCCTTGTGCGTAGTTTTTCTCTGTCCTCATCCGTTCATGTTGGACATCTTCATCTTCTTTAAAGATTTCGTTAAAGTTGTGCTTGGGCCTGGTGAGAAAAGAATTTGCATATAATTAAGAATGTATCCAAACTCTTAAAAGAGGGTCTTATTCATAAACAGTAAATGTCATTTGCCTGAAAACTGTCTTCACTAAAAGGGCTTAATTGAATTCTCACTTCACGGAAAAATTAAAAGTTAGAAAATTAAACTTTTAGGATTATTTTTTTGTTGCACTCAGGAAAGAGATTTGAAATTTTCTCTTCTTCTCCTCTACTCTACCCACACCAAATCCTTTTACTCTTTCCTCATTGTGTGTCCCAAAAAGTTCACATGTCTCATTCTGATCGTAAGTATGTTTCCTTAAATATTTCACCTTAATCCTATTCTGTCCATGATGTCCAGTTTATAATAATTTGCCCGATAACTGTCTTCACTGAAAGCATTTAATTGGATCTTCACTTAGAAAATTAAACTTTTATATCTGTATAATGAAGAAGTTGCCAAGAGAAGGCATCGTTTTCCCACTGTGAAAAGAATTTGTATGGCAATATGCATTGTTTGTAACCGTAAACAGAATTGATTGTGGTGTAATTTGAACCTGAGCTTTGCATTAACCAGTTGAGGTTGATTTATCTGAGTAAAATTAGACTAGCCCAAATGTTGGGAGAATGATGTGAATTTCATATGTGAATTTCATCCAAACACTCGGATTGAGTACTTTGAGAGAGAATAAAAGAGCGAATAAGACTGGCATCGGGAATCAGAAGAAAGCCATGTTTAATGGTGTTTTTCTAAGGACGGCCAGGGCAAGCAAGAAACTGTGATGAGCAGGTTATTTGAAGCTTGTAAAAATTTTTTAGATAATGATTTAGTGATAAGTCTTACTAATTAATCCATAGCTGGGGGGGGAGAAGAGGTAGATCAATACCTAATCAGAATTTGATAACAAGAAATTATAATGTGAATATAAAGTGGGGGATCCATTCTAAATTACAATCAATATATAAACTTATCCTCCACTTTGTAGCCATGTTAGTTTCTATACCTTTATATTCCAGAGAATGTAAATAAATCTAAAAGGCATGCCTGTGTAGACAATGAATATTTCATTGATTTATTCCTTTTTTATGGTTTATCAACCCCTTTTCAGGTTATTTAAAGCCAGGAAATATTTTTAGATTGTAAGAATTTTTTTTGTTTTTCGAGATAATAATAGTTTACTAATACAAGTTTTACTAATTAACTGAAAGGAGAAGAGGTGGATTAATAACATTCCCAAGGGTATTTGCACATAAGTGAATACAATGAACCCAACTGGAATTAGAACTCAGCTCTCTGATTAACAATTCCAAGCCATTATCCATTACACCACCTGCACATCCAAGCTTACAGCACCTGGTATTTCCAAGGGGGTCACCCATTTAGGTACTGACTGGAGATGAATGTTGCTTAACTTCAGTTATCATATGGGAACCAGTTTTTTCACATGATGTAGTTACAAGCCTAAAACACTTGTATAAATAGGATTGATAAACAAATGGTGGCAAATAATGAATTCAAAGAAAACCCAAGAATAATGACTAAGATAATATTGTCTATTACTCTGCTAGATCTGACCTCAATAAGCTATTCAACCTAATTACAATTAACACTAAGTCAATTTTTTTTTTTTTTTACAGTAAGGTTCACATTGAGTGGCCACCAGGCCTTGTACAAAGTAGCAGGTTACGTTAAGCAGTAGTTTATATGGATTGGAGGGGAAGATAACAGTTAACTCTAGAATTGAACAGATTAATATTGTAGTGATCGGGGGAACATCCTCTTGGGAGTCAGTTCTACAGATCAGTAGTTTGCAGGAAGAAGCTGTTTAAGTGAAACTTACTTATCGCTGACAGAATATGGAGGGCGTTTGCTACAATGTGAGTGGCATGGTGGGTCCTGGTGGAACTAAGAAATGCAGTTCATTTGAGCACTTTCCAGGGAAGTAGCAATAGAATAGTAGCAATCATTCAGTTATAGTGATTTGATAGTTTAGTGAGGCCTGAGGTGTACTTATCAAAATATTCTGATGAGACTTCATTACTATTTTAGTCAATTAGGCATTATTCCTTTTAGTCAACTCCTTTATTCAAGTCGTTTTCTACTGCCAAGACCATGTGCCTGGTAAGCGATGGTCAAGCCAAAAAACCTTGAGAAATGGAAAATATGTGGAAGAAACACTCATGAAATTAAGTAAAAATTACAATGAACTTACTTTGATTTGCAATTAAAGGTATTTTTTGCCTCTATGACGAGGGTGATGATAAAGAAAACAATTCCACTTAATGTCAAGGCTAAAAAGTTCCAACGCAACATGTAAAATGGATTCTCATAGGCATCCTTGCCAAAATGTTCATAGATATTTGTCAACAGCTGGTTCTTCCCCAAGGAAACAAGTCCGTAACTCATACAAAATTGTGGGAAAATCAGGAAAGCTATTTTGCAAATATTGAATGCAGTTTGCTGGATCTGAAAAAGAGAAAATGGAAAACACTTTTTAAAAATTGTTTTTTCTTTTTAATTCAATTCTGTTGAATACTAGCAGAAAATCAGTGATTATTATATCAGTGAATGCAGGACTATTTCCACACAGATGGAGAAGAATGTGCGGTCACTCACATCATAACAGCAGAAATAGCCTAGTGTGTACGAGAAATAAAAAAACATACTTCACAGGAAACAAAAAAAAAAATAGAGATGACAGTAAAGGCATGTTAAATTGTACATTAATATCATACAATTTATTTATTTTCATGTGTACGGGTGTGTGTATTTTTGGTTACATGTGATAAAAGGGAGAAGTCACTCCATATTACATGCAATGTCACAGAGAGAGAAGTAGGGATACATGTTGCCCATCTGAAGGTTCATTGCAAAGAGATTGAATTTGATGTCTTTTGGTGGGATGTCATATTTCCAACAGGAATAGTTTTAGTTGCATGCTGGGAGAATCTTTATTATTTTTAATTTAATTTATTTAATAGAACATTAACATGTTATTGTTTTATTTTATTTATAGTATTCATTATTATTATTATTTTATATAATAATAATGTTTCTATAAGAGACTTGAAGAAACAGAAATGTATTCCTATAGAAGTATACCATGGAACAAACATGAGAGTAACAATGAAAATTTTATAGAAAATGGAAACAAAAGGAAACTTATAAGTATGTATTAACCAATACCTGGTTAAGGGAGTGGAGAACATGCAGAGGGGGATTAACAGGAGATAACTGATATCCATTAGACATGGCATGTAGAACTAGAACAGTCTACCCCAGTGAGTGAAGTAAAGGGTTCAGTTCGACATTCCAACCACCTGAAGAAGGCAGGAGCATACAACGGCCGAAACATTGTAATAAATATGGTGACAAAGATGAGGACAATAGTCCAAACAATGTAAATAGTGTACAAATATTTAGCTATCCCCCCATGGGATTGAATGTGGCACAATTTGAGTTTATTTGGGTCATCCGAGCCCATAAAAATGCCAAAAAATATAGCCTAGGCGGGTTCGAGAACTGTCAACCTTAAACGAAACCTTGCCCTTTTGGCAAAATTTGTCGGGTTCCTCCCTGCTAATGCAGAGAGTTAGACAGACGGCGGTTTATATAACTTAATACAGCTACAAATAGTGTACATAATACCTCATCTCAGAAATATAAACAGATCTTACTCAAGTTCATCAAACAGGTTATAAGTGGATGGCAGAAGAGGTATTAGGAGTGATAACAAAAAGATAAAATTTACTAAGAGCTACAAAGGACAGGAAGTTGAGGAGAGCCATGATCACCAATGTCCTGAAGGGACACTGCACACAGAAGAAGAAAAACGAGCTTGTGTAAATGGATGGCAGAACAGGATTTAGGAGAGATAACAAAAAGACAAAAATTTACTAAGAGCTACAAAGGACAGGAAATTGTGGAGAGCCATGATTGCCAATGTCCTGAAGGGACATGGCACATAGAAGAAATAGGGTTACCCCCACATCACCAATTTTGCCAACAAGTTGTTAGAGGGTGTTGTAAAAGCAGTTATAAAAACAGGATACTTCCTGTCTTTCTCTTTTTCTCCCAGCATGCTTTAGTGACGACACCACCAAGATCTTGTTTCTGCACAGAGGGATACCTTTACCTTTAGTATCTGAACTTTTCTACACACATGCACGTATCCTTCCCACACAATTCCTAACTTGGAATGTCTTTTTTCTTTTGCATGGATTCTTGTGTATTTTCTCTCTCTTTTTTACTGAGTTATATAAAAACAAAAAATATATCACACTGAAATTGCTTCCATTTCTTTACATCCGTCATTTAAATGTGCAAAATATTGTAGCCATTGCTTTTAGCCTGACTTAAATTGAACAGAACAAGACCATTAGCCTCCGTCTTCTATATAATAAATGCAAATGTTATTGTGTTACACTTTTTCAACTTTACTCTTAGAGGCCGTAGCCCAACATATCATACCATTTTAGAATCAGGCCTGGAATCTTGAAATTTTGGATTCCCAGGTTTTCATTACTGTGATTGTTTTTATTAATTTTTTTTACATGAATTTTTTGCAATAAATTTTTTTGTACGATAACAATTTTTATAACTTGGAAATTAATTTGGGAATAACTGAAATTAATTGCAAAATCTGGTAAAAGTCACCCATGAAATAAAAATAATTGTTTATATGGAAAGTAAGGACCTATGTACATCAAATTGTCTTTAAATTAAGTGTCAGCAGAAGAATTATCGTTAAACTTTTAAAAAGTAAGTTTAAATATTACTGCAATTCTAAAATGCAATGATCAATTTCAAGTTCTTTTGTAGTTTATTGCTGCTTATCACATCTACTCCTCCCTTCCTATTGCCCTGAATGTCCAATCAAGATCCCTCCACAGGAGCTAGCTTAAATGCTGCCTGATAGAGTGTAGACAGGACAGATTTTAAGCTACTTGTTAATGAATTACAAAAAAGCAAGGAGGAAACACTCAGTAATCTATTTGATAAACTTGTCTGGAGAGATGGTAAAAAGTCAAAAGATAGAAATTTGTGGAGAGCCATGACTGACCATGTTTCAAAGGGACTTGGGACATAAAAGAAGTCTAGTGTTTGAAAAGGTTTCAAGCACTGTATGCTTTGTTGGATGAAACCAATATTTGTATAAGGACGGATTTATAGAGCAACACTGATAAACAAGCTTTCAAATAAGAACTTGCCAGATAAATTACATTATGACAACTGATCGGGAAATATCAAACTAGAATTTTTAATGATTTTCACCCTTAAGAAGGTGATAATGCCACTAAAAATGTTGGTTGGTTGATTTTATTTAGTGGCATATCAACATCTCTATGGGTTATTTAATACCAAAATCTAAATATTTGGAACACAATTTTATGGTTTCAAGTAAATATATATTGAATGCAATTGTATGTCTTCAACTACATATATGTATTGTTGGTCATTTTACTATATCTATTGTTGGTAAAATTTTTTTATATAAAATGTATTACTAGTATTTTTATACTTTCATGATATTTTTTTGGCAGTTCACTACTTGCCCATAGCTCAAGGGTGTGTGAACAGAGTTATAGGCTTGATTTTTTTCCTTGATGTTTAAATTTAATGTATGGGTGTTGATTATCTTGAAACACGTAGCCGCATTTAATTTGATCAACCCAACTACTAATCCCACCACAACAAGCGTACTAATTATTGCTCTTTAACAACATCAGAGAAAGAAATATTTTTTTTAAATCACTTACCACAGTTCTTTGGAAAAGACTGAGTAAAAATATACAGATGCTGGTGCTCATTCCGATGAAGATGTTTAAACAGAAGACAATCATATAGGCAGAAGTGGTGTCTTTGAATGTTCTGACCATTGTATACATAAATGGAATTGCTGACCACCTTAAAAGAAAAAGAAAGAGCAGCCATAATTTCAAGTTTCTGAACTTCTGCTATCTAGCAGAGATCAAACTTCATTTTTTTTTTTTGTTTTGTTAATAAAGATTTTATTTAAATTTTATTACAATTTATTTTCACTTTATTATTTTTAATTTACTTTACATTTTGTTACTATTTATTTACTATTTTTCAGTTGGAGTACTGTTCTCATCTTTGCTATTATCATGTTCCAACCTTCTTCAGGTATCTGTCCATCAGAGAATTTCAAGCTAAACTCTTTATTAAATCTATGGAGAGAGATCTTTTTTTTTTTTTTTTATTGCTAATGCTGTCCTGTTCTCAATGAGTCTGTGCTATCTGGCCCAGAGATTGAACTAACAATTGCTATGCCATCAAATTCCCAAACCAATATTTTAGTCCATGGAACATTAGTCAGTCAATCTAGAAATTACCTGCAGTTGCCTTGCTGTTAAGCTTGACTTTCTTTGCCAGCTGCTTCTCTTCAGACAGAAATTTTTTTTCACATGGAACAATACTGAATCGAAAACTGGGAGCTTTAAACCTAATGTTCATATTGCCTGACTAGTGTCCTAATGCTATCAAGCTTGAAATTCTTTATATTATTCAGACTATTGTCCTCATCTCTGTCACCATATTTATTACGTTTCGCCCGTTGTACACTCCAGCCTTCTTCAGGTGGTTGGAATGTTGAACTGAACCCTTTATTTTGCTCACCGGGGTAGACCATTCTACTTCCACATGCCATGTCTAATGGATGCCAGTTATCAGTTATCTCCTGTTAATTTCCCTCTGAAAGTTCTCCACTGCCTTAACCAGGTATTGAACTCACACTCTTTGGGTCCTGTCACTGGATCTAACCAATGCCTTTATTGCAATATGAGTTTTGCTAAAAAAAACATACAATAAGACATTAAGTTTATAAGTCCCAGAAATTCATACACAGATGTCTTTAAGGACAAATGGCACAGTGGATTAAATAGGAAAGGTGCATCCTGGAGATAGGACCATTGGAACTAGAACTTAGCCGCCCTCTCAAGACTGTGAAGAAGGTGCTACATAAGATAAATCCTCATCATCATGACTTGGCTTTGCAAAACGAAGATCAAGACGGAGTCTGTACACGTCACTTGCAGGCACCTTTGTGACTGATTAGTCCAATGCGGGACAGGCATACATGATCACAAACATAAGATAAATATTCTATTAAGAAATGAACAGCCAATCATGCACACCACCACCATCATCATCATCATCATCATACAGAAAGGTTTAGTGATGAGGATGTTAGTTGTCACAATGTCAATGAATCTCATTTCTCAAATAAAGAAAATTGACTTAGACAAATCAAATTTTTTCAATACTAAATGTCATCCAATATAAGGACCGAAAGCCACTCAAGGTAGAGTGTTACTGTTAAAGTAAACCAATCAATATAAGGATATTAGTCCAAGCCTATTTTCAAGTTACTAAAAGTAACCTTATAAATTCAGAAACTAAAGATGAAACTAAAAAAAGAAGATAGGGATGTTAGTTTATTGATGAACAGTAAGGCAATTGGGGATATTTTCCCATCTTCAGTTTGATAAAATAAAAAAGAAATTCACTTACCCAAACATAAACAAGAGTAAAACTGTTGCTGGTAAATTTTGACGGACCCAGAATGTTTCCAGTTTGAAGATTGACAAAATAATTGTAGCTATAATAAGCGGAACACAGTAGGCAACCTGGAAATACAAGAAAAAACGTTGGCTACTTATGAAGAAGGCAAACAAAGAATAATTATAATTTATAAAACTGATTTAACATTTGTTTTTGACAGATACACAATGGAACCTGAACCCCCACTTTCCAATCTCAATTTATTTGCATTTGTGTAAATATGACATATAGGATGTCTGGTCAAGAAAGATCCTCTCTTCTTTGTGGGATGTCTGGTCAAGAAAGCTGTTCACCCCTTTGTAGAATGTCTGGTCAAGACAGATACCCCCACTCCTCCTTGTAGGATGTATGGTGAAGAAAGATGCTCCTCCCTTTGTAGGATATCTAGTGAAGAAAGATGCTCCCCCTTTGTAGGATGTCTGGTCAAGAAAGCTGTTCACCATTTTGTAGAATGTCTGGTCAAGACAGATACCCCCCTCCTCCCTTTGTAGGATGTATGGTGAAGAAATATGCTCCCCTTTTGTATGATGTCTGGTCATAAAAGCTGCTCCCTCCTTTGAGACATTTGGTCAAAAAAATCTGCTCCCTACCATTTTGTGGGATGCCTGGTCAAGAAATAGGCTCCCCTCCTTCATTTCAACAGTTAAGATTTTATTTAATCTGTAGAGCATGATAACTCTTAAGTGACCTACCAAGGTTTATTATTGGCATATGTAACAAATAAGACTATATAGAGGACACTGTAGTAGTGATGGCATATTTAGAAGAAAAACTGTAAGAATCGTTAAGCAAGATTGTAGAGTAAAGCAAGCATATCTAGACACTAATTGTAAGAAAATGGTATGCACAAGGGACATCCCAAGATATGAATTACACATTGGGGATGTCAAAATCAAGCAAGTGTCAATGGAGAAGCATATTTCTTGACTAGACATGTTCTTAAAATATATAAAAAGATGAATAAACTGAAAATCTTTTACAAAAACAGTATCATGAGGTTTATGAATCATTGGAAGGTGGCTAATGATAATAATGGAATATTGAAGTTTTTATATATTCTTTTCTGGTCCTAAATTCAGATATTGTAAAATGATCTGGAAGATATGAGTAACAGCATTGGACTTTTTAGCACAGCAACTTTAACATGGCTACTTTTTCACAGATCAATTTTGGTACCTTTAAATAATAATTGTTATATTTGACAATGATCTATTTATTCTGATGTGCAGTAGCCAGACAAAAAATCTCTGAGTTCATAGTCTCTGGACAACACCATGTGTATTGATTCTGAGGATCTCACCAGTGCGGAGTTCAACTGAGAGACAGAAACTACATTAAATTTTCATTGGCTGCAGGCTAGATCTGCACATGAGACTGAACTACTAGCAGTATATTTAATGAAAACATCTCACTGGCTGTGGTTTGACCTCAAGATGGATGGGTTCCACCAGGTCTATTTTGCACAGGACATACTATTCATGAATAAATATCTATGGAGACATATGAAGGGAGATGGCCAGGTGCTTAGTGACCATATGACCATACTTGGTCACTCTGAAAAACAATACATTATGTTTTATTACATTAACCTGACATCAGAAACAGATGTTAGTATGCAAATTGTGTTTAACCCTTCCTACTAATAACCAATATTTTTTCGCCTTAGTACAGATAACAGCTGAGTAGTTCTGGCAAAATAGCATCTGACATGTAAGTGCATACAAATCAAAGGTGTATCACTGAATTCCTCCATTTAGAAAAATTCAGCACCTATTGGTATTTATTGACACGGCTTACTAAATATTTATGGAAACCAAATAGTGGATGTGAGTACAACAGTAAGGTGGTGAGAAGTGCTCTTCAGTAATGAGACAGTTATAAGTGACAAACCACACTGAATGACCCAGCATATATGTTAATACTTGAAATAAAAAAATGTATCAAAAAGACATAGCCATTGGTGGTGACTATATAGAAACTAGTGTTTTGTAGATGAAAATTTGTTCTAAAGAAGACAGATGTTGATTAATATTGCATTTAAGTTTTTGATTGGTTCATTGGTTGATTTTGTCTAGCATCATAACAACCTGGATTGGTTATTTAATGCTTTTTGAGATAATAATGGTTTTAGTGATACAAGTCTTACTAATTTAATCCATAGCTGGAAGGAAAATGCATGGATTCATACCTTTCCCAAGGGTATTTGCATGTAAGTGAATATAACTCAACTGAAATTGAATCTCAGCTGTCAGATTTCCAATTTTGAGTCATTTTCCATTTCTGTTATTCCTAAGTGGTCACCCATCTAGGTACTGACCAGGCTCAATGTTGTTTAACTTCAATGATCATATGGCAGCTCAGTTTCCCTATTAACAATTCCAAGCCATTATCCATTACACCACCCACATATCCAAGCTTACATCACCTGGTATTCCCAAACGGTCACTCATCTTAGGCTGGACATTGCTTAACTTTGGTGATTGTATGGTAATCCAGTGTTTCAATGTGATGTGGCAGTAAGCCTTAAAGTTTTGATGATTGTAGGTGGCTGGAAAGACTGAATCTTGAAAAATCAAAAATGTCAGGAACAATATGTTACAAGAAAGTCATGAAAAACTAATATAAGCCTTGAAAGGAAAAACAAATATTTATGGGGGTGGAGTTTATTATTTTCTTTTGTAAAGGTTATTTCAGTTTTATATTGATATTGATAATAAACATTGAAAAAAAAAAGAAGCTGAGTGGAGTAAACAAACCATATCCCAGAAGAAGGCGGATATCCAGTAAGTAAGTGGTCGTACACCACTGATGAAGAAGAGATACTTTTCGGAATTACGATGTTCTTTCACTAAATAAATACAGAAACCAGCCGGGATGAAGCTGAAGGCAAGCAGGATGACTAAGCTGACCACAGTCTCAGATGCGATATGTAATCTGCAACAAGAAAGGATTATAGAATAATAACGTTAAGAAAGGAACATTAATATCTATCTATATTTCTGAGATAATACATAGCTCAACTTGTAGAGTTGAGTTACTAAAGGGAGATAACTGATACTCGAGACACCCAGAAGAGGCATGGCATGTGGAACTAGGACAATCTACCCTAGTGGATGAAATAAAGGGTTCAGTTTAAATTGAATCACCTGAAGATGGACAGAACATACAATGGCCAAAACATTATAAATTTTATGATGGATATTATTTTTTTTTTTTTAATCGTTTCACCCCAAGCAAGGCAATAATGGGGGGGGGGGGCAGTTACAGATAGTGAATGGGAAAGAGAATGAGAAGACTGAAAGTGAGGGGGGGATTAAGGAAAGGTTAAAAAAGGGAACAGGGTTCAAAAAGACAGAAGAGGGGGAAAGCAAGAAATGGATTATTATGTGATATCCATCCATGTATATGGCAGTGAATGTGGGACAATCCCCCCATGGATGAGGAGAAAATTAGAGTCAAGAGAAATGTCCATCTACTGAAGGATACTGAGAATTCCATGGACAGAGTTAATAAGCAACAAGGAAGTCTTAAAATGGCAACATAAAGAACACTTCTACTCAGAATCAGGAAAAGAAAGCTGAAATTACTTGGATGCGTAATGAGCAAAGAGGGCTTGAAAAACTTAACCCTTACATCATATTCAAGACTTAAAATGACAACAAAAAGAACACTTCTACTCAGAATCAGGAAAAGAAAGCTGAAATTACTTGGATACGTAATGAGCAAAGAGGGCTTGGAAACTTAACCCTTAAGGGGGCATATTGAGGGCAAGACTTAAAATGACAACAAAAGAACACTTCTACTCAGAATCAGGAAAAGAAAGCTGAAATTACTTGGATACGTAATGAGCAAAAGGGCTTGGAAAACTTAACCCTTAAGGAGCATATTGAGGGCAAGACTTAAAATGACAACAAAAAGAACACTTCTACTCAGAATTATCCAAAAAGAAAGCTGAAATTACTTGGATGACGTAATGAGCAAAGAGGGCTTGGAAAACTTAACCCTTAAGGGGCATATTGAGGGCAAGTCAAAAAATGGCAACAAAAAGAACACTTCTACTCAGAATTAGGAAAGAAAGCTGAAAACTTGGATACGTAATGAGCAAAGAGGGCTTGGAAAACTTAACCCAAAGGGCATATTGAGGCAAGACTTAAAATGACAACAAAAAGAACACTTCTACTCAGAATCAGGAAAAGAAAGCTGAAATTACTTGGATACGTAATGAGCAAAGAGGGCTTGGAAAACTTAACCCTTAAGGGGCATATTGAGGGCAAGACTTAAAATGACAACAAAAAGAACACTTCTACTCAGAATCAGGAAAAGAAAGCTGAAATTACTTGGATACGTAATGAGCAAAGAGGGCTTGGAAAACTTAACCCTTAAGGGGCATATTGAGGGCAAGACTTAAAATGACAACAAAAAGAACACTTCTACTCAGAATTAGGAAAAGAAAGCTGAAATTACTTGGATACATAATGAGAAAGAGGGTTTGGAAAACTTTAACCCTTAAGGGGCATATTGAGGGCAAGACTTAAAATGACAACAAAAAAGAACACTTTACTCAGAATCAGGAAAAGAAAGCTGAAATTACTTGGATACGTAATGAGCAAAGAGGGTTTGGAAAACTTAACCTTAAGGGGCATATTGAGGGCAAGACTTAAAATGACAACAAAAAGAACACTTCTACTCAGAATTAGGAAAAAGAAAGCTGAAATTACTTGGACACGTAATGAGCAAAAGAGGGCTTGGAAAACTTAACCCTTAAGGTGCATATTGAGGGCAAGACTTAAAATGACAACAAAGAGAACACTTCTACTCAGAATTAGGAAAAGAAAGCTGAAATTACTTGGATACGTAATGAGCAAAGAGGGCTTGGAAAAACTTAACCTTAAGGGGCATATTGAGGGCAAAACTTAAAATGACAACAAAAAGAACACTTTACTCAGAATCAGGAAAAGAAAGCTGAAATTACTTGGATACGTAATGAGCAAAGTGGGCTTGGAAAACTTAACCCTTAAGGGGCAATTTGAGGGCAAGACTTAAAATGACAACAAAAAGAACACTTCTACTCAGAATTAGGAAAAGAAAGCTGAAATTACTTGGATATATAATGCGCAAAAAGGAAAATGGAATTGATTGCACAATCCATCGCAGAATTCCACTATGACCAAACTGAAAAATTAATTTGCAACAAGTGGTTGAAATGAAAGTAAAAGACAAAAATCTGGTATCATATAATTAGATGTGAATCCTGTTGTCACAATAATGTAGATTTGGTTGAAATAAAATTGATTTCTGTGATGACACTCTTTGATCTGTCTATATTTCTGAGATGAGGTATTATGTACATCATTTACATTATTCGGAATATTGTCCTCATCTTTATCGCCATATTTATTACAACATATGCTAGGCCACAAAAATCTCCTGAGCCAACCAAGCATAAAAATTAATACAATATGGGAACCAGTAATAAGGAGTGCCAGAGAAAAGTGATAATAACAAAAGTTGCAATATGAGCTCTGGTAAAAACATGTAATGATAACAGCAAAAATTGCAATATGAGGACTGGTAAAAATGGTTGCTGAGACATTAGGTTTATAATACCCAGAAATTCATACACAGATGGCACAGTGAATAAAGGCATTAGTTAGATCCAGTGACAGGACCCAAAGAGTGTGAGTTCAATACCTGGTTAAGGCAGTGGAGAACTTTCAGAGGGAAAATTAACAGGTGATAAATGATAACTGACATTCATTAAACATGGCACGGGGAACTAGAACAGTCTACCCCAGTGAGCGAAATAAAGGGTTCCGTTTGACATTCCAACCACCTGAAGAAGGCCGGAGTGTACAACGGCCGAAACGTCGTAATAAATATGGAGACAAAGATGAAGACAATAGTCCGAATAATGTAAATAATGTACTGTTTGAGCTGTTAAAATAGGAGTTTTCCAGTTTGTCTTATATTTTTACCATTCCATTGGATTCTAATCCAAATTTAAATCACCCAGAAAGTGGAAGTGAATGTAACAGCCTTGGCAGAAATCTGAACTCAGCTGACTGATTCCACTCTTGATGCTAAGAAACATTATGATACCCACATGAAGGTTGAAAACAAAACTTACATTGCTTCTTCACTGAGAACTCCAAGAGATAACTTGATAGGGTTGTTATACAGTGTAATACCTGGAAGAAATAAGATAAAAAGGGTAACATTATTGAAAAACTTGCAAGTATTCATTGGTAGAATCTTGAGAAGAGTTGGACATTTAATATTAAGCATGATGTACAAGAAGTAATAAATCTGGATCTGATGCCAACATTAATAACTGGTTTTACTGCATCTATGGTTCAGTGATTGATTTTGTTTAGCAGCATATCAACCTCTATGGGTTAATTTGATGCTGAAATGTAAATATTTTGAATGTGATTTTATAGCTCCAACTAAATCAATTTTGAACATAACTGTATACCTTCAACTACAGATAAAATATATTGTTGGTCATTTTGTTTTAAATACGTATTGTTGGTAATTTTGCTATGAATATATATTGGTAATTTTTTTTATATAAAGATGTATTGCTGGTATTATTAACATAAATATGTATTTTTATACTTTCATAGTGTTTTGATTTTGTTTAGGGATTCACTATTTGCCAATAGATGCGACCCTAACAGGTGCTACCATCCTGGTTCAGGGTGGACCTGAGAACAAAAGCAATTAAGAGGTGGTTCCATGCTCCTCAAAACCTCCATTCTGTTAATCAGAGGCATTGCTGCCAGATGTATTTTATCATCATACCCAGGACTATCTTGGTACGGACAATCTAGGATACAGGTAGGAACTGGTTTGGTTTGATCTGTTTTATTTTACAGCATATCAAGCTCAATGGGTTATTTAATGCCGACAAGATTTTTATTGCTGGTAATATTTTTTCCTTCAAAAATGTATTGCTGGTAATATTTTTTTTTTTAAAATGTATTGCTGGTAATAATTTTTTTTTTAAAAAAAATGTAGTGCTGGTATTAAAACCTATTTTTACACTTTTGCCATAGCTGGGACCCTAACAGGTGCTACCACCCTGAGTCAGGGTGGACCTGGGAACACAAACAATTAAGAGGAGGTTCCACGTTCCTCAAAGCCTCCTGACCAGAGGCCTTGCTGTTGGATGTAGTTTATCGTCTTACTCTGGACACGGATATAGTTTATGGCCATACCCAGGACACAGTGTTGCCTTGGATAGGTTTATTTTGTTGTGCTTCTTTTAAAACAATTTGACAGTCCAAGAAAAATCTACTTTTTTTTTAATCCATTCACCCCAAGCAAGATGAGAATATCACTAGTACACAAGGGGCTTACAGGGAGTGAAAGTGAGAGAAAAGACTGAGTATAGGGAGGATTGAGGAAAGAACAAAAGATGAATGGGATTCAAGAAGATAGATGCTGACTAATGTTGTTTTTAAATTTCTGAAGATTGTACTTATCAGAGAAGCAAGTAAATAGAAAGGAGTTCCACAGGCAAGAAGTGTGGGAATACTTACCATATTCTGCAGGATTTCCAAGTTTTGTTGCATTGACAGCCATTCTAAGTATAGCATTCGAATAACTGTTAAGAAAGGCAGGTAAAGCATGATGACCCTTGTTGTTAAACCAGACAGTCGTAGTCTTTTTACCATTGTTGGCATTGAATGTCCAGCCACCATACCTACAAGAAATAAACAAGTTTTGCTTCAAAATTATGATGCATATTATATTAACAGGAGTTGTGCAAATCCCTTAAAATTGTGAGTCCCGATAAAAATTAAATCTATAAACAAAAATAAAAAAGTATTCAAATAAAGCATTTGTGCTTTCTTTAAAAGCCTTATCTCTTTCTTTCTCTCTCTAAACTTCTCTTTCTATGCTTCTCTCAACATACAAGAAGGCAGCCCTCAAAAAAAAGAAAGAGGAAGAAGAAAAAAGATTGAACACAGCCAAAAATGCTAGAAGTTTGCAGTAGCAGAACTTACTTATTTGTGACTGAAATCAAGAAGGAAAATCAGGGAGGCTCCACATATAACTTCCATTATAAAAAAAAAAAAAACATGGAAAAGAAAAGAACACCAGACAATAAAATGATTTGGCCAATAAAAAAAAATGAGACATTTTTAGCCGAAATGAATGTCTGCACCAAATTCTTGAGCCTGATCAAAAGAATATAAACCTGACACCTCTGGGCCAGAAGCAGATGGGATGGCAGGAGAGGCTGGAACAAAAGAACACTACTGCATCGAAACCAGCCATGCATGAAGAAGCTGTTAAAAGGTCATTTACTACTGATATTTCCATCCTGCTAAGAGAGGAGAAAAACAGTAGACCAACATTGACCTAATTTCTGAGATTACTATTACCCCTATCATGGTCTGACTTCAAACTATGAAACAGATTTCTCCAGACAGCTATCAATATCCACCTTATTAAAAAAAACTAACTCATCACTCTAAAGAAAACAAATAGAAATATATTATTTATTTTAGACCCTTGAGTCAGTTCATTTTATGCCCTATGTTACCCAGTAAAATAATTATCCTACATCATATCCACATAGGTGACACTTGCTACATGATAAAATATTATGGCCTATGCAGAAAAGAATAATTTACTTCCTACCTTTTCTCTATAAAATTGGCAAAACTCGTCAAAAGATAGTCTGTGACTGATTCTTTCATGGGGGTAAGATTCTGTAAGATGATTGAAGAATTAAGACGAATCTGACTAGGTGGAATTCCTGCTGCATATTTCGAACAGTCATAACGGTAATCCATACAACTACAACTTCCTGATTTGTTGGCAATGTCTTCTGGGTAATACGGACGAGTAAAGTGGGTTTCAGCAGCAACACAATGTTTCCTGAAAAAAACATTGGATTAATTACAATCATTTGGATCGATTCACAAGCAAATTAATAAATTAGCCACAAAAAGAAACAGTAAAATCAATAAGTATGTAAACAAAAAGATGGTATTAACAGCATTTAGTTTAAAATAATTTTCATTCAAAAACAAATCTTTGATTGTATAAGAGATGTTATACAAGCTACCATTAAAAATGTCTTTCAAATTTATCAAAAGAAAAATCTTTTTGGCCAACCCATTATATTTACACTATATTTGTGATGACTTATCAAAGTCTTGTTAAATAGTAGAGTTCTCTTTATTTTTATTAAATGAAGCATTGTCAGCCATTATTATTAATTTTTGGCTAGTATTTACTTCCACCTTCATTTTTTATGAGATCAAGCATTGTCAGCCATTATTATTAATTTTTGGCTAGTATTTACTTCCACCTTCATTTTTATAGAGATCAAGCATTGTCAGCCATTATTAATAATTTTTGAAATTTTTTCCACCTTCATTTTTATGAGATCAAGCATTGTCAGCCATTATTAATAATTTTTGGCTAGTATTTACTTCCACCTTCATTTTTTATGAGATCAAGCATTGTCAGCCATTATTATTAATTTTTGGCTAGTATTTACTTCCACCTTCATTTTTTATGAGATCAAGCATTGTCAGCCATTATTATTAATTTTTGGCTAGTATTTACTTCCACCTTCATTTTTTATGAGATGAAGCATTGTCAGCCATTATTATTAATTTTTTCTAGTATTTACTTCCACCTTCATTTTTTTTGGATCAAGCATTGTCAGCCATTATTAATAATTTTTGGCTAGTATTTACTTCCACCTTCATTTTTATGAGATCAAGCATTGTCAGCCATTATTATTAATTTTGGCTAGTATTTACTTCCACCTTCATTTTTTATGAGATCAAGCATTGTCAGCCATTATTATTAATTTTTGGCTAGTATTTACTTCCACCTTCATTTTTTATGAGATGAAGCATTGTCAGCCATTATTATTAATTTTTGGTTAGTATTTACTTCCACCTTCATTTTTTATGAGATCAAGCATTGTCAGCCATTATTATTAATTTTTGGCTAGTATTTACTTTCTCCTTCATTTTTTACTAGATTAAGCATTGCCCACCCTTATTATTCATTTTAATCTGGGTTAAGTAAGAAACAAATGTCAATGCTTTGCTTGTACTACCCCCACCTGATATGCGTTAAAGAAGAGAGCACTTTAAAATCATAAGTAAATGAATCCCTCCAAATGTTCACCGAGCAGGAATGGTTGACAATCTTTCTGATCACTTCAGCTCCTTGTAAGCTTTCATGGTTGAAGTCATGGTTTCATGATGTGTACAACAAAACTAGATCTGATCCCAACTGTAGGTTTTAGATAGAACAACTCGCCTAGACAGGGCTCTTTAGCTGTGGTTGACAACGGGTCTAAAAGAAGGATAACACTGATATTGAATAAAGGAAGTACTCCAGGTGTGTGGAATTCACCTGCATTTAATGTTACATATATTACAAAGTATAATAATATTACAAGGTCTGATCAGAAAGTATTGGAACTGGTGTTATAAAAAGAAAACTACAACAACTATTAATTCGGCATTTAATCTCCTTTGAAGTAGTCCCCTTTCTGAGGCCTGCATTGTTTCCATTGATGGAAGCATTCCTGGAACTCCTTTTTTTTAGATAGCAAGCAGCTTCATCGTTGCATTCACTTGGATTTCCCTGATGATATGAAATCTTGTTCCTTTTGGGTGGGATTTGATTTTTGAAGAGAAAAAGTTGCAAGGGGCGAGATCTGGGGAATATGGGGGTTGTTGGACCTGGGGGAATGTTGTGTTTGACCAAAAACTGCTGCACAAGCCATGATCACAGATAGAAACCTTTGTAGTCTGGTGAGGTGACCACACTCTAAACACTTTCCTTACAAGTCCTGCTAGAGTCTGAGGTCAATTTGTGCCATACAGCTTCCCCCTGCATACTTTGGCTCCATTAACAGAGCAACAGTTCCAATACTTTTTGATCAGACCTTGTCTCATAAGAATGAAACAACATTAAAAGACTTTTAAAAGAAAAACACGTTTTTACCTTTGTGTCTCTTCCGCATCTGGCATGCACCATGTTCCTAATCCTGGGTATTTGCTGAATGCATTTTGTAAGCTGTTTCCATAGGCATCATTAGCTTCATTCCTGAAAAGTTAAAAAAAAAAAAAAAAAATACAAACGTCATAAGTATTATTATTCTTTTATGTATTAAGTTCTTCAGTCACTTTCTCACTAATGTGTAGTGGCTTCCCTCTGTCTTTTCTACAAATATTTTCATGGCACACTGTTCTGATGAGCTGTTTTTTCCCCTGGTGCCTCGAATACATGAATTTAAGCGTGCTACTAGATTGGCATATAGGTCCCACCCTTTTACTGTTGAAATAGCTAAATGCAACCACTACTTCTACTCCAACAGTTTTTTTCTTGCACTTGAAATATATGGAGCTCCCTTCTGTTTACTTGCTTCCCTGATAAATACAATCTCCAAAACTTTAAATGCAATGCTAATCACCATCTTCTGTTTTCTTGAATCATCTTTTCTCCTTTCCTCAATCTTCCCTATTCTCAGTCTTCTTTTTTACATTCACTCCCTGTAACCCCCTTCATACTAGCGGCATTTCTGTCTTGCTTGAGGTGAAATGATTAAAAAAAAAACAAAAAGAAAAAATAGGCTATCGTGGCTCTCCCCAACTTCCTGTCTTCTGTTCATCTAAGTAACCTTTGTCTGTTTACTGTCCACCCATTTCTTTTCGTTCTGCTATCCATTTGCTCAAACTCATTACCTACGTTATTAAATGTCCTTCCTCACACTTCTTGTCATATAAGAGTGAAATTCTCCAAGCCCTTTCCTCATTAGGTGTCTCATAAATTTCAGCTGTTTCATTCTTACTGTAAGTATACATTTCATTGTATTTCCTATTCTCATTAAAAAAAAAAAAAAAAACTTCCTTGTTGGTCTTATGTTCTGTCCATGGCATTCTTAGCATCTGTCAATAGGAGCATATTTTTACCACTTCAAGCTTCTTCTGCATGATTTCCGAGTACACTCATTTACTTGGCTGACAAACTAATCCCTGTTGCAGACGCCCATTCAGCCACTTTTGTGTTTCTTAAATGCCAATAGAGCTGAAGTTTTCTTTTTTAGGCTTAGATTTTCTCAGAAAGATGACATAATCTGATATGATCAACAAACAAGGTCAGTATATGTTGTATCCTTAAAGAGGTTACAAATAGACAAATGTGGTACTCAAATGAAAGGAACAGCAACATGTGCGTAGATGAAAGAAAGCGAGGTTTATTGTAAAAGAGAATACACTACTGAAAGACAGGGAATTGCGTAGCAAGCTAGTAATTCCCAAAGCAAGTTGCCAGGTATATCTTGTGCTCACTATATATATCTACTGATATAGACAATCCACATAGGCGATAGGGAGTGTGGGACATTCCATTACAACAGTATGCTCAAACCCTTGGTCACAATAACTTCATGCAAGCAAAACTTTTCATGCAACATTTCTGACAAAATGTGTAGGTCCCCTAGTGGTCTCACTCAGCATCATAAACTTCCAGATAATCAAGTTGTCCGTACTCAATGTGAAACGGCCTGCAGGTCCCTTGTGGGTCATATGAGCCATTTAAGGTGCCATCAGTGATATGGCAATCACCCTAAAATATTCATTTGGAAGTTATGATGAGAAGATTGCACTGAAGCATAAAGTGATAGTCACACTGCAGTCTTGATCCCAAGGTTCAGTCTCTCACTCTCTCTTTATATATATATATATATATATATAAAAACATAAAAACATATGTTATTAATTATAATAGACAATGAATGTCTGTTATGTATGTTCGAATGTTTGCTTTAATTTCTGGTGAAAATAAAGATAAAAATTGTCCAAAACATTGTGAAGATGAGGGTAACAGTTCAAATAATGTAAATAATGTAAGTAATCATAATACTGGATTTCGGAGATATAGACAACCAGAAGTTGAATTGTAAATAATTGCTTTACTTACTTGAAAAAGGCATATGTGCCTTTGCCATATAATTCTGGGGAAAGTGGTATAGATTTGTAAGGTGAGACCGTGGAGATTTTGGAGAATCCAATTGCGAAGGTGAAAAACAAACAGGGCAGCAAAATAGAAGACACCATCAACCTCCAGTTGCGATAGTAATGATAGGCACGTTTCATTAACAAGGCAGTGAATGTATCCAGGACAGAGGACGATTCTTTGTTCACATTTAGCTGGAAGTCTGTATAATAGAAAAAAAAGAAGAAAAATGACAAATTTCACCCAATACAAGGCTCGAAAGCCCCTCAAGGTAGAGGGTTACAATTGTAATGATAATGTTGAATCAATCCTTATGTTACAGCCAAGATAGAGTGCAAAATTGTTTACATAGGCTTGTTGGAGGGGATGACTTACAACCACTGTCCCCACAGATGCAACATTGCAAGCTTATTGTTACTCCATCACTATTTCAATGACAAATATTCAGATGAACTCCATCCTTGAGTTATACCAGTTCAGTTTTCTACTGCTAAGACATGTAACGTTAATTCCATGGAGTCGATTCCCAGCCCATTTCCACCATATTCCATTTGGTATCTGTCTATATTTCTGAGATGAGGTATTATGTGTACTATTTACATTGTTCAGACTATTGTCCTCATCTTTGTCGCCATATTTATTCCAACGTTTCGGCCTTTCAGTATATGTCTATATTTCTGAGCCTTGTATTGGGTGAAATTTGCCCCCCCCACTGCTTCCGGTTTGAAAAGTGATTAAGTTGTTGAGCTCCTTGTAGCTGATTTGCTGAACAAACCACCTGAGGAGACCATAGAGGTCGAAACTGCAGTAGTGTGCTCTGATCAGCTTTCATTGTTTATATATATATATATATATATATATATATAAAATCATTGTCATCAGCTTTATTTCATATGCAAGAATCTTCTTTTCTGATCGCTTTCTTTATGATGATGGCTTTCATAACTAAGTAGACCAATTCTTGCATGAAAGAGTTGATGACACAAACTGCATAGTAATGTTGGTGAAGGATGAGATTGATTTTGTCGTGCAATTCTTTCCAGTGGCTTCAAGGTTTGTTTTATTTGAGGGGAACATCGCCAGTTGGCATGTCCATGTCCATGTGTTTCAAATGATTTAGGCTCAAGTTCAGTGGCTTTTAGTGTTGTTTGAGTTGGTCCTTGAAGATATGTATATATAAATCTCATAAAATAAAAAGTCTAACTAGTTTGTATTTTACGTTCTATGAAAACTTTGATCATAATTGCTATCACATTTTCAGAATAAATAAAAATAAAAAAAAACATAAATAAATTGAAAAATAAATAAAAATTACCTGGGCTATCTTTACAAGTATGCAATCGAAAGTAATGTACAGAATATATTACATTTACTGTTCAGTGTGTATAGCTGGCCACTTGTATTCAAGGATACATGCCTATTAGGGTGGCTAGCCAATCTCTATTGCAGACACTTGCTCAGGTGCATTTGTGTTTATTCAACACCCACAGAGCCCACCTGTGGTTTATACTGCAACTATGCTCAGTAGACCTTAGTTATCTAGCGTGATCAACAATTTGAGCAAAGTCAGCGTGCTCAAGTCCTCGGCCACGATGACTTGTGACTTCAGGCTAGCACAGCTATTGATGGCCCCTAGGGTTGTGTCTACCCAATTTCACTCACAAGGCTTGGGTCAATATGTGGCATGTCTTTCAGACACTTTCCAAGGTACTGCATGCTGGGATCAACCCCACAAGTCCGGTAATATCAGGAAGTCTCTTTTCTGGCAAATTGACCATGGTGAGATTCGAACCTGGGTCTTATGGTCAGAACGCGAAAGTTCTAACTACTTGGCCACTGTTCAGTACAGAAATATATCAACATAGAAATAAATTAAAAACATTACATATGATGCAAAGAGGGACATTAAAGCTATCTGAAGCTGGTTGACACAAATAGTATACCTGAAATACCAGGTAGGTACAACTTCTTGTTTGGGAATGGGACAATCCAGTGTAGCCCATTTGGTGTTGCCGATTCAGTGTAGCCAATTTGACATAGGAATTTTTCAGCAGAGGATGTGTCAGACTGAAGGTGTCAGATTACTACTTTGTTATTATAGTTAAATTTGTGATCTCTCTCTCATTTAGTAGTCAAATTAGTACTTTGTCCAATTTAAGAAAAAGAATAGTTGGAGGTATTTTTCAATTTAAGAAAAAGAATAGTTGGAGGTATTTTTATATTATATTTCCTTCAGTGCAGCTTCATGATGAATGAAACAAAAAAAGTCATAATAGAAGTTGAATCATTCGATCCTATTGAATTCCCAAAGAGTGTTGCTCATAATTACGAAATGAAGAAGTAATTTCTAAGATTAAATAGCTTTATTAAGTTTTTTTTAATTTTTTTGAAATACAATATTTTTAATTAAATTTTTAATTTACATTATTAGCATTTTAGTTGGATCCTTGATTCCCTAAATAAATAAAAAGTCATACTGAAAGTTGGGGGATTTCAATGCTTTTGTCCTTTTTTTGGGGTGTTGCCTCTCGTAAAAGACAGTAACATCGAAACAGTCTGATGCCTAAATGGCTGTGCCAAATAGTCCAATTATTTTTCTGACGCCGAATTGGCCCTGTTGAATTAGTGACACTAAATGGGTTATGCTGAAACATACCAAAACCTTTTTGTTTAGTGACCAGATCATTGGAACAACCTGAGTGGCAATATTTGAGCTTGATTTTAATTTCTGATTCTGCTCAGCAGAATTGTCTTGAATTCCATGGATCTGTTGCAAAAGAATTAAAGAGTTGCTTCCTGTTTTTCATCTCTGCTTACCTGAGCCTGATGCTGTAAGATCAGCCAGATTTGAGTCATTGAATTGTTCCTCAAGCTGAGGGCTTGGTGGCTTGATGCTCTTTCCTTTCATGTTGTCTGCAGTAAGGACAATGTCAGCGTCAGACAGGTCACGGGCTTTCATGAACACCTGAAATACACAACCATTACCACTAAGAGGATAAAAGAAAAAATACACCAATATTTTTCACAAAACTTTTACTTTGCACTATTGCTAGGAAAATAGAGCAAACATTATTATAATTTAATAGCCTCAAGTGATTTAAGTAAAAAAAAAAAAAATGGCAAGGAGATTGAAAACAATGATATCTTAAAACTGATAAAAGCTATTTGATCATAATAATAAAATTTTTATAAAACCGAGGATAAAGTAATATTTTTGATTATAATTTTTGAAAAGTTACAAAGAACTTAATAATCTAAAGCAACAAGCACTGTTGTTTTTAAATGCTGACCATATTTGAACTTGGTAAGCAATATTTTGTTTTTTTATCAGTGTCTACTAATTTTACTGCAAGCTACTTCTTCCCTTGGTTTATTTATTTCCTGCTCTAAATACAGATGTCGAAAAAAAACCAACCTCTTCCAATGTTGTGTCTGATATTCCATAGCTTTTCACTCCAAGGTTGGCAAGGTTTTTGTCTAGATCTTCAAAGAACAAAGAGAAATCCTCTCGGTTGGAACTGACAGGTAAAGTGTAGGTTGCCTCCAGAGCATAATTTTCTGATATTTCACTGCCTGGTATGTAATGTCTAATGAGATCTAAAACCTTTGAAGGATTGAAGTTCACTGCAAAAGAAAAAAATGTTTTGATATCAAAGTTATAGGAAATATTTGCAAAGAAAAGCATTTAGATAAATAAGCTGCAAGTATTATTTATATCTGAACTAATATCCTCATCTTTGTTGTTACTATTACATCATTTTAGCCATTGTGTTCTGTGGCCTTCATCAGGTGTCTGTTGATCCAGGTAATAAATCTGATGGATTTGATGAGGTTATATCAGCAGCTGATCTAAAAAATTACCTAAATCTGTTGTTAATTGGGGCAAGAAATGACTTCTTAATTTTGATGCCTCCAAAAAGAAACTACTCTCTTTTAATTTTGTCTTGAAGAAAATTTTTTTGATTATGTTGATTTGCTAGTTCTGCTGCTTGGAAAATTGGTTCATTGTGTTGTGCTATACAATTTTTCATGCTAGAATCTATCTTACACATTCATCTAATCTACCATTCATCCATGCATTGAATATTACTGCTGTATCTGGTCTGGTGCTTCTTTTATATATTTAGAGATCCTTGATAAAATCCAAAGAAGAATCTGCAATGTTATCAATACTGACCTGGCATCAATTGATGCCAGTTGTCAGTTAATTTCTCAAGGACTCATGGCACAGTGGATAAAGGCATTAGTTAGATCCAGTGACAGGACCCAAAGAGTGTGAGTTCAATACCCAGTTAAAGCAGTGGAGAATTTGGAAAGGGGAATTAACAGGAGATAACTGACATCCATTAAACATAGCACGTGGAACTAGAACAGTCTACCCCAGTGAGCGAAATAAAGGGTTCAGTTTGACATTCCAGCCACCTGATGAAGGCCGGAGCATACAACAGACGAAACGTTGTAATAAATATGGCGACAAAAATGAGGACAATAGTCCGAATAATGTAAATAGTGTACCAGAAATTTATACAGTCTGTACTTCATTTGAAAGCTGATTTTGCTTCTCCATATTCTTACCAATTTGGTCATCGCTGTGGCTGTCTGTGTGCAGATTTCTGAGCTGCAGGTACCATCTTTAGACAAGATTGCTCCAAAGTATTTAAAACTGTGTTGACACAGGTGTTACTGTTTGTGCTATTCACCATTAAATGTTCAAACCTCATTGGTGGTAGTTGCTTACATACTGTCATAGAATGTCAATCAACTTGAGTATTGTGATAAAAGGCAACAATAATACACAGAAAGATAATTTATTGATAGATTGATTCATTTTTTATGGCTTATTAACCTTTTGCAGGTTATTTAAAGCCAGAAAATATTTGTAGATTGTAAGAATTTTTTTTAAGATAATAATGATTTAGTAATACAAGTCTTACTAGTTAACCCATACCAGGTAAGGTAGAAAAGGTGGATTCACACCTAATCAGAACTTGATAAACACAAAAAATTATAATGTTGGGGATCAATTCCATATTACAATCAATATATAAACTGATCCCTCACTTTGTGGACACGGTAGTTTCTATAAGTTCATATTGCAGAGAATGTAAATAAATTTAAAAGACATGCCTGAGTAGCTAATCAGTATTTCATTGATTGATTGATTAGTTTTCTATGGCTTATCAACAACAAAGAAATTATAATGTAGATATAAAATGGGGGGATCAATTCTATATTACAATCAATATATAAACTGATCCCTCACTTTGTGACCAATAGTTTCTATACGTTCATATTGCAGAGAATGTAAATAAATCTAAAAGAGATGCCTGTGTAGCTGATTAGTATTTCATTGATTCTTTTTCTACAGCTGATCAATCCTTTGCAGGTTATTTAAAGCCAGAAAATATTTTGGGATTTTAAGAATTTTTTTTTTTTGAGATAATAATGGTTTTAGTGATACAAATCTTACTAATTAACCCATAACTTGGGGGAGAAGAGGTAGAATCATACCTTTCCCAAAGGTATTTACATGTAAATGAATATAATGAACCCAACTGGAATTGGAACTCAGCTTCTCAATTAACAATACCAAGGTATTATCCATTACACCATCCGCACATCCACACTTACAGCACCTGGTATTCACAAGCAGTTACCCATCAAGGTACTGACCAGAATAGATGTTGCTTAACTTTGGTTATCATGTGGGAACCAGTGTTTTAATTTGATATGGCATTATGTCCAAGAAAGATAACCTCGTCATAATTAATGGGCTTGTAGTTATTTATGCAATGTTGCCATGATACATTTTTAAAAGTCATAATTTTGATCACATTGCCATTGTGTGAATATATATATATATATATATATAAAAATGTGATTTTGTATGTTTGGCCAGGGATTAAATCTGAAACCCTTTTCAGCTCTTATTTTGATGGAATGTCCAGAATGGAATTAAAAGAAAACAAAATATAATATCTCAAAAGTCTACAAATTAAAGGTTAATGCTTACCAGTGGAAGGAATGGCTTCAGTATAATCCTGTTAAATAAACAAAAAAGAGATTTCAATAATCATTATATTATATATATATATATATATATATATATATATATATATATATAGATATATTTTCATTCAAACATTAAATTTGAGAGGATTAAAATAAAAATAGATATAATATATCCAGATTAGTCAACAAAACAGGCTTAAATGAAAATATGCTATGCTGCCTAAAGATACTAGATGTAACAGCAAAATTGTGTAACAGAAAAATTGTCCAATTGTTAGATTAAGCTTTTGAACAATTCTAATGGTTAAAGCTATCTTAATCGAATTTTCCAAGATTTTTATAACACTATTGAACTCTGTATTTAACTTTAAGCTTTAGCTTTAAGTTGAAATGGAGATCCTGTTTCCTGTCAAGACACCCTGATCCAGTTTTCCTCTCTAATTGCTCCCCACTTTTTAAAAAACATAATAGGTTTAACAATTAATTTTTAAATTAATTATAACAGAACACATCTCATGCGCATTTACAAAATAATTCACAATTACAATGATTTTTTTGTCTCAGTAATTTACTCCTGAAGATGATCTTGGATGAGATTGAAAGTACTTTGGAAAATAAATGAAATTAAATCAACTACAGATTCTTCCCTGATCAGTTTAATAATGGCATTAAGAAACTGATCTGTGAATTTGAGAGGATTAAAATAAAAATAGACATACCAAATATGCTTGAATGAAGATATGCTGCATATATCATAATATATTTATCAGTCATGGCTGATTCACTGTCATGCTAAACAATTTTTCTTATTGGAATCCATGTTGCATGTTTATGAATCTACCATTCATGTTTTCATTTAATATTGCAGCCACATCTGGTTTGGTGCTTCTGCTATGTATTTAGAGATTCTTGACAAAATCCCAAAATAAGAAGCCCAATGTTATCAGTCCTGACCTGATGTTTCAGTTTCTTTCCCCATCACTATTGTTTGTTCTAATCTGGCATAGGAATGACTGCAAAACACTTTTCCTCCTCCCCAATTTATAGGCAGAAGCACACAAATACATGCTGGGATTTCTTCCTAGCCAATAAAATAGGCCAGTTCTCAGTTTCATATGGCTCAGTCCTGGTCTGTCTTGTCTTGAAATCAGAACGCTACGTTCGTTTATCCAAATTTGCTCTTGTGCATTAACTCCAATTCTTACTTTATGAACTTTTCACCATATTACTGTTGCTTTGTCTTATTATTGTTAATTTACCTTGCATATATTGTTTGCTTGCTTTATATTCATTTTAGTCCTGTTTTTTTTTCTTGTTTATTACAAAACTTTGTCAATTCTGTTTATTGGGCATTTCTTCCATTTATTTACATTTAACGGTGGCCACTCACACTACAGCTACTCCTTTTCAAAATTTATTTATTCAAAATGTATTCCTTTATATTTTATTCCAACTACTGTTTTCTCATTGATTTTTATAGATGTGGTTAGAGATAACATTTCAACGAGTACTTTCTAACCATCTTCAGATGTTCATTGTTTAGCTAGCTGATATGGGATATGTGTTATTATTGCGCTATATTTATTTATATGAATTCACTCTTGTGTGTGTCAATCTTAATTCTTAGTTTGCGAACTCTTCATCATATTACTGCTGTTTTGCCTTATTACTGCTGTTTCGCCTTATTACTGCTGTTTTGCCTTATTACTGTTAATTTGCCTTGAATATATTGTTTGTTTTAGATTATTTTTGCCCTGTTCTATTCTTTTTCTTGCTTATTACAAACTTTGTCAATTCTATTTGTTGGGCAGTTCTTCCATTTATTTACATTTAACAAGAGCCACTCAGTTTTTCTTTTTGATACCACGACATTGCGAATTTAAGCACTGTACTAGATTGGCAGTTAGGTCTCATTATTTTACTATTGAAATTGCTAGATGTAATAGTAAGTTCTATGCTAATAGTTTCTTCTCTCACACTTCTCGCCTGTGGAACTCCCTTCCAGCTTCTTGCTTTTCTGTTAACTAGGATCTCAAAAATCACCATCTGTCTTTTTAAATTCACTTCTTTTATTGTCCTTTCTCCTTGCTAATATTTTTCTCATTTTCTTAGACTCTCAGTAACCCCTTGTGTCTTAGCGGCTTTACTACCTTGCTTGGAGTAAAATGATTGAAAAGAAAAAGAAATTCCAAGTTGGTATCTACCTCATTGTCTGGATTATTTTTGATGAGTGTCAAGTGATAGCCAGTGCCAAGATGTCTTTTAAGAAATAGAGAAGAACCGGAACATAGGAGTTTCCCTTTGTGAAGAATGGCAATACGGTCACTGAGAATGTCAGCTTCATCCAGATGGTGAGTCGATAAGATTACTGTACAGCCTGGAAAAAACATAAATAAGGATGTCAGTAATATTCAAGCAGGGGTCATTAAAATTTAAAAATCAGTTTAAACCATTTTCAGGACAGAATATTATTATAACTTTAAAAAAATGAAACATCAACCCTTTAGCATTCAACATGCTCAAACCTGCACCCATAAATATCAGATCTCATAATCATTGCTGTTTGTAAATGAAAGTAGTCATGAGTGGCCACTCTTCTAGATATCTTTCCATTTCACACTGGTATCCCTAGAAAAGGCATGAACCCAATTCTCCCCTGTTAACTGTCCTATTAGTGAAAGAGACAGTATTTCCACTCCACTAAAACTTTTAACATTAATACAGCTTTAGTGGAGTGGAAATATTGTCTCTTTCACTAATAGGACAGTTAACAGGGGAGAATTGGGTTCATGCCCTGGGTAGGACTCAATCTTTAGGCCTATGTTGTTCCTTATTTTCATCAATGACCTTCCCGGTGGTACCAGTTCTCAAGTTAGTATCTATACTGATGACACAACCATTTATTTCTGCCTTAATAGTAAGCTTGATTGGTTTGATAAGCTCAAATTGGCAGCTAATCACACAAATGATCTACATTCTGTTGTTAACTGGAGCAAGGAATGGCTTGTTAATTTTAATGCTTCCAAAATGAAGCTACTCTCTTTTAATTGTCTGAGAGAACCCTTTTTACCTTCCATCATTGTGGCTGAGGCTAACCTCCAGGTGAGTGACACATTGTGCCTTCTTGGAGTAATATTTTCTGCTAACATGGAGTGATAAAGATTATATTGATATATCGGTCATTTTGATGTGAATTAATGAGACTACCAACCTGCTCGGTACTTGAGAATGAGATCCCAGATTCCTCGACGAGCACTTGGATCAACTCCTGCAGTTGGTTCATCAAGAATAACGATCTTAGACTTGCCAGTAAATGCAAGTGCCACACACAAGCGCCTCTGCATGCCTCCTGACAGCTGCTTGGCAGGTACATTTCGCATATGCAGGAGATCGACATCTTTCAAAATTCTATAAAATAATAATAATTATAATTACAAAATTAATCATAATAGTAATATTGATAATAATAATAATCATAATAATAATAATTATAATGAAGAACAATCAAAGCTAACCACCCAGACATTGTTATTAGAGACCACAAACAAAAAATTGCCTCCTTATTGATATGGAAGTCACTACAGACTGTAATGTATCTTTGAAGATCTTCGAAAAGCTGTCAAAATACAAGGACCTTGAAATAGAAATCTCAAAAATGTGGCATATGTGAACAACAGTTATCCCTGTTGT